ATCCCGTTGTGTATGGGGTTAGGCGAAGAGGGAACTTTTCTCTCAATCCCTGGAAAGGAGCCTCCACTTGTCCCTATCCTGTTGTGCATGGGGCTAGGTAAAGATAGGACTTTTCTCTCAATCTCTACATAAGAGCCTTCACTTGTTCCTATCCCGTTGTGTATTGGGTTAGGAGAAAAGGGAACTTCTCTCTCAATCTCTCCTGAAGAGTGTTCATTTGTTCCTATCCCGTTGTGTAAGGGGTCAGGCGAAGAAGGAATTTCTCGTTCAATCTCTGCAAAGGAGCCTCTGGTTGTTCCCATCCCGTTGTGTATTGGGTTAGGCGAAGATGGTACCGTTCTATTAATTTTGGCGAAAGAGCCCATATTTGTCTCTTTGTTGACGATTTTTATCCACCCATGAAATTCAAGTACATGCTGTTGCTCCTCTTTTATATGCCGAGCTTTTGAGACTTTGTGGTTTAAACCTGAGATAATTAAATATATTAGCAAAAGGACACATCATTTGAATATTTTGAAATATGCACTTATCCCCCCTCAACCTTAAAATACCATGCGGATTCACCTTCTGAGGTAATTTAACTCAAACACTGATGAGAGAAATTTTATACTCCACATAGCGATTGCAGCGACATACACATCGAAGGAGCAATCTCAAACCTATTTTCCATAAATTATTTTGCATTTATTCTTCTATCTTTCTCTTTCTAATACATTGAACAATAGAAGGGATTGAAAATCAAATCCTAAATCATAAATTCATAGCTGGAATATGGTTCATTGATGAAATTGAAATTTCAATAAGTTGTTGACCAAAACCATAATAAATTGAACATTTGCCTATCATATGCCTTTTACTGATGCAGTAGTTTTCTTATATACCCCTTCTTTATATTAAAGTTCTTCTTTTCATGCATGACTTCTAGTTAGGTATAGTGTTGACATTAAATGACAGATTCATCTTGAATGAGTTGAAGCATTCAAATTCTAGGAAGAGTGAGGTGACTATATGTAATCGAGAATAAATACTTATAAATTTACCTGAGATCACAATGAGAAGAATGAAGATAGTTTGTGTGAACGTTATCTTGCTCATTTCTAAATAATAATACGAAACAAAAACAGTGTCACAAATCTCAACCTTTGTGGTTTGTGTATGCAACCACATGGAAGCATAGGTATATATAGGATTCCATGGTAGTTCAGTATGTTAATTTGTTCTTCTTCTACAACTGTCACTTCTCTCGGAAAACATATTTATGCTTTTAATAAGTATTGTTGTTAATTTTTTCAGTTCAACAAGCTATATTAATACTTTCTTGTTATTAGATTGATGCTTTTAACTATTTGGATGTCGTTTAGTTTGTTAAAAATAGAATGCAAACCAAAATCAGTGAGATCAGACACGTTTACATCTTTGATGTCACTCTATTTTTTATTTTTTCCATTTTTGGTTCCCCAATGCAAATATTTTCAAAATTACATGTAGAATTAACGCAGATAAATTTAAAAATAAGTCCAACGCAAAAATTTGCTCATCCGATATAGATTCAAATCACAGTCTACAAATTGTTGGCAAACTTGCTAAGCAAATTATTGAACTACCATGTCGGGAAATGAATTTGAAATAATAGAGTAGACATCGATTTAGAGACAAATAAATACATCTGAAAAATAATCACTTCAAAACTGTCTCTAAAACATTCTCCATTACATTTAATGATTTTTAATTGATTGAGACAAAAAGAAGTTAGCTTTTATATTTTGATGAGAAAAAGGAAGGTGTAAGGTGAAAATTAGAAGATTTGTTTTGAAGCAAATGTGAGTCAAAATGAAAAGGATTTGAAGATTTCAATATGATAATCTACGATAATGAATCACCATGTTTTGATGATAACAAAATAAGAGAAAGATTTATTTGCAAGGTTCAATATAAACCTTATAGCAAAATAATCAAGTTGAAGAGATACAATTAAAGACTATGAGGGATTTGAAGCTTTAGGATTTTAATCTTGGAGTCTTAATGTTTTTTTGTAAAACAGTCTTGAGAGAGCTTTGTTTTGGCTCGAAATTTTGAAAATGCCAACTCAATAGTAACTAAGGGCACTTTTGTAGAATTTTTAAATCCAAATAGCTGTCTTTTAATTTGACGTGGTGAGATGTATTAATATTTACTAAATACCTTTTGATATGTATTGATTTCTTTCAAAATATGGGTTTCAAAGTATTTTGTGGTTCTAACAACTATTTAATCAATCAACTAAAAGATATCCTAAATAAAATTTAAATCATATTATGACCCAAAGAAATTTAAAGTATGTTATTTTTAAGAGTTTGTCGGAATAACAGAAAGATTTTATGGGAAAGCTATCTTAGTGACTTTATGAGATAACTTTGAAATTTTCTTTAAATTTAAAAATTTCACATTTCTTTCTACTTATAATTAGGAAATCCCACAAAAAATATCTTTGCATTTTAAAACTATAAAACAGTCTTGTTTGTTGATAACATTTAAAAAGTAAATGACAACATATTTTTGTAGTCAGTTCTGATTTGTGATTTTAAAATTTTAAAGGTATTTTTTTTGAGAATTTTTCATTACAATTTAGTTTCTTTTAATTTTTTCCTCCCTCTTTGAATTATCACAATAAATATGTAAATATTGTTAATTCACAAAAAAATATATGTATATATTCTTATTTTCTTCGCTTCAACGTGCTATACTTAATACTTTCTTGTTGTTAGAATGCTTTTTACTGTTTGAATGTTGTTTAGTTTTGTTTTAAATTGCAATGCAAACCAAAAAGATTGAAAACCAACATATTTATATCTTCAATTTCATAATATATTTTTTCCATTTTTATTCTCTAATAAGAATATTTTCAAAAGTACAAATATAATTAACATGGTTAAATTAAAAAGTAGATGTCGTAGAAAAATAACTCATCAAATATAGATTCAGATGGGGTCTATAAAACTAATGGCCAACTTTCGTGGCAAATTATTGATCTCTTATGTCCAAAAATGATTTTCAAATAACAGAGATGAATTTAGAGACTAACAAATTCTCCTCTACAGTATTCAATTCAAAATCGTCTCTAAAACAGTCTCCATTACATTTAAAACTAACTCTTTGCTGATTGAGACTTAACGACATTAGATTTTTTGTTTTGATAATAACAAAACTAAGGTGAAAAAATTTGTTTTGCAGCAAATGTAATTTAAAGTGGAAAATGTTTGAAGATTTCAATATCATTTTTACACGGTTTATAACAAATCTTATGACAAAATGATCAAGTTGAATGGATACTGCTAAGCAAACCAATGATACCAAGGCATCTTGTTAATCAAAGAACCAATCTTTACAAGGGAACAAATCAACCCTTGTAAAGGAAGATTTATCTACAACTCTCGGGCATTACAAAAAGAGATGACCTATGTTAAACTTTCTTTTATTTGAAGCCTCAACTATCCTTCACACCTTAATCCATACACTAAGACCTCTATATATATAATCATTAACCTTTTTCTTAACTAATGATTTTAATGTCTCCTACACTCTAGTTGGTAGGTCTAACACTAATCAAAGTGCCAACTTGCAACATAAATAATATGAAAAAATGATGTTGGAACTCGGAATGCTTATCCAGCCATAAAAATGAATGAAGCACAATTTTGGTCAGTAGAAGCCTTTCAATTATGCAAAGCCAAAGTCTTCTCTTAACCTTCTGCCTATCTGCTAGATTCAATTTTCCTGCAAATCTCCCGTCTCTCAACGTTAATGTGGAATTACCAACTTCCTTCAATTTTCCATTCTTGAATGATGGACCATATATATATATATATATATATATATATATATTAAAGTTTCTAATATCGGAGACTCATCCACAAGCAACTTTAGCCCTGAAAAGGATATATGCTGGGTAGCAACATGCTCCAATAATTTCTTCAACCATCCTTCTTGTTCACTGAAATTCTCAATTTCCTCATGCTACTTTGCTGCACTGTCCATTTGTCCAAGGGGTTTTCTGCAATGGACATAACGTTGCCTTGTTTGGATTCAAGAGCTTCACCATTTTTCAAGAATTTCTTCTGCCTTCTGTGACTAGAAGTCTCCTCCCTCACCTCCTCCTAGCGCAAGAGCATGAAGGGCGATCTTGCAGCAGAAAGGGAGGTGAGCTTGTTTCTTCCTTCATGGCTGAAACGAACAGAGAATCCGTCACCGTCTTTCAAGTACTTCGACGACGCTCTTCGACTGGGCGGATTGAAACAGTAACAAAGACGAAGGCGCAAGAGGAAATGGGTTAGGAGAAGACAGAGGGTACTTCTCTCAATTTCTGCTGCATCCATTTGTTGCTTTGCTGCTGTGTATGGTTCCGGAGAAGTCTGTAAGTTTCTATCGATTGTGACAAGAGACCCTATGTTTGTTTTTTTTTTTTAATCTCTCCACCCATTAAACTTGATTACATGTTCATGCTTGTCTTTTATATGCCAAGCTTCTGATACTTTGTATTTATAACTTAAAAGAACTAACAATATTAACAGAAAAAGACACCCCATTTGAGTATTTTCAAGTTTACACTATTCTCCACAACCGTAAAATGCCATAAGCATTCATCCTTTGATGTTATTTCGCAGAAACGTTGATGAGAAAAATCTTATATTGAGTGGTGGTTATTATGACATACATACATATCATAGAAAAAATCTCAAACCTATTTTTCATAAATTGTTTTCTTCTTATCCTGGTCTCTCTCTAATACATTGCAAAACTCGAGAAATTTAAAATCAAATTTTACAAGTAGGAATTTTCTTGCATGCTATCCTTTACATTAATGAGTCCCCCCCCCCCCGGGTATATCCATAACCGCTCACTGTTTATCTTGTGGTATTAACACCACAACAATAAGGTTACGATAAACAGCCGGGCATTCAGATTTCATCAGTCATTTTCCATTTTCAAAAGGTTTAACTAAAACTGGTATACTACAAGATCAGTGTTGCCAATAGCAACTAGGACTAATAACTTCTTTTATCCTCGTAATTACGGTTTCCTTTACAAGAGGTAGCTAGCTATGTTTGAAGCTAAAGGGTCTCAGTTGCAAGAACGAGCAGACAAAAATCACATATTATATTTCTGAATATAACAAGAAAGGATTATCAACACCTAACTAGTTGTTATCTGAGCATAAAGATGGTCATATTTTCACAAACCGAACATCACTCTGACCAAAGGCAGTCCCACAGGCAGGGCACTTGCGATGACGGAGTTCCAAGTTCCTTTGAATACAAGGATTGCAGAACAGATGATAACACTTCACAATCACAACCTGCCCAATAAAAGATCAAACTCAATAGGTTCTCCATGGAAAAGAAATGAAAGTAAAAAAAAAAAAAACGAAAAAGGAAACACAAAGTAAATTCTACGAACATTCTCTGAACTTTGTTAAAATTACATAAAATTTGTAATTTGTAAAGTTTGAACAGCTCACACTGTAAAAGAAATATACATAATTTTTAATTTTGCTAATGTTACACAAATGCTGTCTTCTATTTTGAAAAACATGCACAAACCTTCGTTGTTAAAAAATGAGTAAATCATACATATAGAGTCATCCTGAAATTGCACAAATCTCATAGGGGAAGTAATCAGAAATTTAATTTATTTTTTATTTCATGAGAGGTTTATGTAAGTTTTAAAAATCGATGAAAAGCATGCAACCTGAACAAAACTCAGAAAAATTGCATTGGTTTTAAGATAGAGGGCACTCAACATTTTTGGGATCTTTTGGAACTTAAGTGTCATTCCCCCTTTTTATTATTAAGATCATTTTCCAATTAGACTATAAAGATGTATTTTGGTCATTTCCCCAAATGCTAACTTAGATATTAGCATCAGGAGAAAATGACCCAAATACCATTGCATTTACTAAAGTCTTGAAGTGAATGAACAAAATGCTTTTTCATCAAAACTCCCTTGTAAAGAGGTTGCTGACCCCCACATCATTGTCGTGGAGATATTCTAGCACACACCCGCCCGTAACAAAGTTTCCTGGTGTTACCTCCTTTGGACGATCAGAACAGACAGTGCACTTGATCATGTTCTTGCAAACCCTAATTTCATCTTGTAGTTTTTGTATTGCTGTCTCTCCAGTTTCGGAACTGAGCTCATCAATTTTGCTGTTTAATTCCTTGAGTTCTTCCTCAAGCTTCTGTTTTGAATTCCTGTATGACATGGTTGATTCAACCTCATATGTATTCAGAAAACTAATACTCTGTTTCACGAAAGATAATCATTTTCCCAAAGTAAACCAGCCTATCAATTGCACAAACTCAACATATATTGCGCTGAATATGTCACATGTACACTATAAACTTGATAAACCCAACAGGAAAAAAAAAAAGTTCCAAAGCAGAAATGACACTATCATTCTTTTATAGCACTACTTTCCACCTAGGGAAAGGATACCAGAAGATAGGCATATGGAATCATAAATTCTATGCATCAATGGATCATGAAATTTGAGTGAATGATCGTTTAGGCACCAACCCCATCTTTTCACCAGAGCTCATTGTTCGGTTGTTATCATTGGAAAGAGATTCCCATTGTATTGCATGGAAAATGAGATAAACAAATTCTACAACGCCCTTATCAGATCATTATATAACAATAACTGTTCTATTAATTTATTTACTCAGGTGTACGAAAGAGATTTCCTATTTACAAAATAAGTTTCCATTTTCATTCTATTCCATTTTACACACTTACTGTGAAGAGAAAGCAATGCTATTAAGAAAATAAAGGAGGAAAATTAAAAGTTTGTTACGAGGTTTTCAAAAACAAAACACACAAACAGACTTTTCACACAGTTCACCAAAGTAAATTGTGTCTTCCAAAAATGACGTTCCAGAGGTTATAATTTTATTGGAGAACTTGATAGTGAAAAGGCCACCTGGATCTTGACTGAACTATAATAATTGATACGTATTATCTGGGTCCAATAGATGTTTTAATGCTGGAGTAAACTCCGCATAGAATTTGTTTAGCAGCTGAAAAGGAACAGAAAGGAAAGGAAACAAGAGGAAAGAGAACAAGAGAGGATAAAGGATTTATTGGTTCAATCCAAACATGTTGTTTAAGAATATCCTATGCATAAAGTGATAACAAGGTTCGTTTCTCTAGCTGTTAGAAGCATTGAAGCATTGAATGGCTAGATTCAAATCAGTAACGACATATAGGTTAAAGATAAAAAATGAGTTCAGATTCTGGAAACCATTCAGCTTCCAGTGATTATCTGGTTCAGACATTAGTCTATTCTGATCCATTTGACTGCAAATCACGCCGCATCTTATGGTTTCTATTTCCAATTCTTACCCCATAATTGCTTATTTTCTTTTGCAAGGATAAAGCTTCCAACTAGTGTTTGGAATATGAAGATAAAAGCATAAATGTCAAATAATATCTGAAACAATCAATTTGAGGGTCCCTAGTTTTGATATTCTGAGTTTTCCAAAATAAGGAGGCGGCACCTAAATTGTTGGCCAACTTTGAGTTTTCCAAAACCATTTAACAATATAATCCTGCGAAACCCAGTAACCCAAGAAAAGTAATCGCTGCATTAGAAATAAACCATATACCAAGACATGTGAGTTCTAGACGACTGTAATCCATAATAATTTTATTCAAGACCACCCAGAATCATTAAGCTACAAGAGCACGTGGTTAATAACCAATGTAGATGCAGATTACGCAACTCACATGGTGAGCCAAACATAGCTTGGCGGACCATTTTACAAATTAACTGCACTCTAGTTTTAATAGAAAACAGAACGCAGCAACGAATAAGAAATAGAAATAGGACATGGGACAAATCAAGAGAAGTTAAAAGTTCCACTATTTAAATTGAAATATATAATATTGACATAAATCTGACACCGATCCAGAATAGAAACAATGAAGCTTCTTATAAAGAAAAATACCTTTCAGCATCCAACTCAATTTGGATAGCTTCCAAGTCTTTCTGAATTTGATCATACTCTTTCTCAGAAGAAGTAACGGCAGACCTAAGCCACTTCAGCTCCTTTTCAGCATCAGCCAATTCCCACTTCGTAGATTCCAGGGTAACTGCAAGGTGTTTTTCCGCTTGAGTACATTTAATGGCTTCTGATAAAAGAGCTTTCATCTGCAGGATTAAATTTCTTAGTCATAAGTTGTAACAATGTAAGCATCGAAGTTGTTCGCATAATGGCCGAAATAAATAAATAAGTAAACTGGCAGGAGGACCTGGTCTTCACTGTGTGTAATCCTCATCTTTAAAGTTTCTATTGAAGTGTTAATTTGTTGAAGCTGCTTTGCTAAGGCCTGCTTCTCAGAAAGTAAAATGCTATGTGCCTGTTTTGTCTTTACGCTCTCTGATACAAGCTGCATATAAATTGCAATATGATAAATAAAAAAACCTAAGCACCAACATTATTATTCGTTAATGCTAATGCCCAGTCGGAGGTGACAATTTTTAGGTGCAAATAAGACCGACCTTAATGTTATAGTCATCCCTCTCAGTCACCTGCTGTAATAGATGTTTGTTCTGCGTCTGCATATCTTCATATGCTTGTCCAATAGTCTGCAGGAGATGAGAAATTTAACACATTTAAGAGAGACCAAAAGCCGCACAGTAACTTCTGAAACTAATAGTTAAACTAGAAGGGGGAAGTAGACACAAATCAGAGAGGCAACCTCAATTTCAGATATATAAGCCTCTGACTCAGCATCTTTGACTTTAATAGCCTCAGTCAGCTCCAAAATATCTCTGCAAGAATGGATCCAGAATAATTAACAGCATAATAAACAAACCAAGTTTGTGCAATCTTAATTGCATTCGTCTAAAGGGAATGAATTGCGACAACATAGCAGAAGGCAAGGAGAAAATGTGTCTGTATCTATCCTGAAACATACTTATGTTTCAAAATTTACAAGATTATTAACAAGAGGGTGTGTGCTATGAGTGGGGAAGCGCAATTGTTGGCCTTAACGTAAAAGTATAAATAAAAAATATAACAAAATATTTAAGGAATATTTATTAAGTTAACACTTAGCTCAATTAAATCTGCAGTAGTTGAGCTCAATCCTCCACATCACACGGCTACTATTGCAGATTACGCATCACTTTTGGTATAACCAATCTATTAATTTTGTTTTCCAGTGAAACCGAATCTAATATATACTAAATTCTATAGGAAATCACTTTAGCCACTCAATGTTCATAATGTCCGTTTTAGGCTATGCGCCCTTGGTATGTGTGTGTGTATGTCATTTCAAAATTTCAAATTAAAATTTTCCCCCATATTTCCAAAATTTCACTTTAGCCAACTCCTCTTTCTTAATTTGATTCTATCCAATTTAAGCGTCCCGTGCCATGCACAAATCAGAATTCTACTCATACTAATGTCTAAAATAGAGGATGTGACAGGAAATAGATTTAGAATTTTTAAACAAAGCTATTGTAATTATGATAGCTAAATTAGCTTTTAAATAAATTTAGGTCAGATTAGGATTTATCCCATTATCTTATCACATCTAGGATAATCTTATCTCATCTAGGATTAGTTTAGACATCATTTTAAATAATTGTACTGATGGCACTGTAAATAGCCTTAGGTTATGTTTAATATTTAAACCTTTTAAATGATTTGAAAAACCTATGGAGTTTGTCAACTACTCCATCCTTTTCTCTCTACTTCCCCCTCCTTTCTTTTCATTTTTCCCTTCCAATCTCCTTCCCCCTTCCCTCTAGCTTGTATTACATCACCTTCTTTCACGCCAAATCAGTTGTTATTTTTATGATTTCAATAAACTATTGAATTAGTCATCGTTTTCTCTCTACTTCCCCTTCCTTGCTTTATGTTATTTCTCCTCCTTTCCTCCGCCTTGGCCAATATCAATATGGCGAACTTTTCTAGGGGGAACAATGAATAACTAAAACAAATTCTTTGAAAACATTCATCAACTCCCTCACATCCCCTCAAAAGAAACCCCACCAAAAATAACTGTTAGTTGAAACAAGGGGATTCAGAATTAAGAAGGTCTGGCACAAGCCTAGGTACAATGAACCAACCAAACACACACAAGTTTCAAAAGACCACACATCCACCAAGCCCCGCATCATTTGTTTTACTTCGAAAGAATAGGAAGCAGATGAACATAAAGTGCTTCAATGCATCATGACAGACCCCCCAGTATACCAGAACAGACTCAGGGTAAGCACATATGCATCAAGGGCAGCATAGTAAAATTAAAGTGACAAATCTCATGCTTATATCCTTAAACCATCTTCCTTCCAACTCCTTATCACCAAAAGCTTCAATACCTTCCAAAACAACCGCTTAGGAGGTTTTAAAAGGGGGAAAACAAAACACTTCATTAGTTTGACATGACAGGAAATTTAAAGTTGATAGAGAAGCATTCATAATTACAAACCTTTCAGAAGCTTCCAGCTTCGACCTTAGATCTTCTATTTCAGCTTCTGCTGCAGAAAGCCTTTGTTCATAAGCAGCTTCAGCTTCATTGGCAGCTTTAACCCTCAGCTCTAAACTATGCTCATCTAAAGCATTTTTCAGTACTTCAGCTTGAGCGAGAGCTTTACTTTCTGATTCTCTGATTTCTACCAAACCTCTGAAATAAACGTTTTGTACCACATCTGGAATGAATCATTCAAACGAACATAGAACAAGAAAACTTGTTTTAAAATTTTTGAATGCAACAGAAGTTTTTTCTTCGGCCATCATCTTATTAACGTCAGATCAGCATACCTTTTTTCATGATTCTCCTGTCCATACAAGTCCAGAAAGAATTGTAATTCCACTTTTTCCTTCTGCAGCTTTTCAATCTGCGGCAAACAATAAATAGCTTCTAAAATAAGATTAACAAATAAAAATTCTAGGTAAATGCTAATTGTGACAGGGAACACTGAGCAGGAAAATATTCTACCAAGAAATAAATACTTCACCTCTGGTCCATTTTTTAATAGAGAAAAATTCAATGAAAGAGAAAACGACCCAAAAAACAGGAAAAAAAAAAAAAAAAGAGAGCATAAAATATTCTAAATGTACAGCTAAATGGGAAACAAAAAGCAGATAAGGAAAACAAAACATATACAAGGAAGGACTTACCAATGTTTTTAAAGACTTTATCTCCACAACCTGCTCGGAACATTTGTTTGCTAAGCTTTTTATTTCACTTGTCTGCATCAAAAAGAAGAATTAACCATCCTCAGTGCCTACAACGTACCCAAACAAAATCAATTATAAACAGCACAATGGAGAACAGATCATGAAGAACTAAAGGTAATGGGAGATTGGCAAGATAATGGAAGCTATGGTTTTTCATAGAAGTAAACTACAGAACTCAGATACAAAACCTTTATGATAGGATATAAGTTGGCAGTTGGGCTTAAGGTCAGGCTCTGGCCCATCAGTAAGACTGTGCTTTAGACCAGTCGTGCTTGGTCAATTATCTCTTTTGATGGTCAGTTATATATGAAGTCATGATTATACTTCAGATTGATCAATACAATTCAATTGCATTGGAACTCCCGAACACAAAGGCACAACGCCTGTGGCCAGCACTGTTTGGTGTGGTGTATGAGATTTTGAAGGAAGTAGCACTGGAAGTAAGGGTGCAAATGGGTTTATAAATTATGTTTGGTTGTTGTGGAGACCTCGTATAAATTTTAATTAGCATACAAATTTTATTATGAAAAGACAAAAATGCCCATGCTAGAAAACAAAAATTCCTTCCCCCACTTGGCATCACCCAAGAACAGTTCACCATCCAATCATCCACCATGGAACAGCGGCCACAGCCACCACTAGAGGAACCACAGTCGGAGAACACTCCATAAATCATTACAAAAATCAGAACACTTACATCCAAAAAAGAAACCACAAATCAAACAAAAGAAAACCCCATAAAAGCACTATATAGATAGACATAGGGAAGACCCTCCATTGCACAATGGAATTGAGTAACCCAAAAAGACTATCAATAGTCACTGACAAGCTCCCAAGTCACTAGTGTTACCACGCCAAAGGGCAAATGAGTTAATAGGTAAAAGTTCCATGGAATTGAGGGGAGTTCCATGGGGCGACCTAAGGAAGTCACTTCCATCGATTTTGATGGAAGTGGCTTTCTGATGTACCAAAAAAGTCAAAAATTGGACTAATGGGAGTTGAGTCTTACAAAAAAAGCTAATATCTCACAACGTGACAAACCAAGTTTGAATCCCCTCTAAGAGAAGTGCCCACATTTAGTACCCAACAGTGCCTTAAATATGATTGCTTCCAATAAGAGGATACCTATGCCTAACCAAAAAAAAAAAAAAGGTTAAAATTGGAGTTCTATCTAGACTTCCACCTCCTTGGTTTTAAGTTCCATGCTACCAAGCAGGCCCTACAGAACAAATTCTATCAAAGTAAGATTGAAAATACAACTCAGTTTATTCTATCGCAATATGGCATTTTATTGGAGAAAAGCTGAGTCCAAAGTGTCCGACTTTGTCATCATATTGTTGTTGCACATCCTATCTTTAAAAGAGAGAAATGAGAATATGCAGTCTCTCAAAACCCATCTTGAGAAAGCAAAAGCCCAGATGAAAGAACAAAGAGAAGTTGAGTTTGAGGTGGGAGATAAAGCATACTTGCGTATTCAGCCCTACTAACTAAAGAACTTGGCCAGAGACAACATGAGGAGCTAGCTCACCATTTCTATGGACCCCATGAAGTGACATTGCAGATTGGAAGGGTGGCTTTGAGACTGAATTACCACAGGGATACATCCCACTTCCCCATGTCCCAGTCAAAAAAATACTCCTGCCAACTATAATCATTGCCAAGTCTCTTGTCTCAAGATTATCATTTACAAGTGCAACCCAGGAATATGAAGGTGAGAAGGATGCCCAGTCCAAAAAAAAAAAAAACTCCTGCCAACTATAATCATTGCAAAGTCTCTTGTCTCAAGATTATGATTTACAAGTGCAACCCAAGAATATGAAGGTGAGAAGGATGACATATGGAATTCGGCAAGTCTTCATGTAGCAAGATCTTCTAGACTGTGATAGTACTTGGGAGGATGCAGATGAGTTGGTCATTCAATTGCCTACTTTTGCCCTTGAGGACAAGGTGAAACTCGAGAAGGGTGATGAACCCACCAACTTTGTGGGCCAAACCTACACAAAGAACAATGCCCAACATGCTACGTGTTTAAATTTACCTCCAAAACCATGTTTTTGTGGTTTTGGACATAAATCCAAAAAAATGCTAAAAGCTAAGAAGAAACATGCCAACGAGGCCCAAAAGGGCAGTAGTTTTGTAGATAGCAGCAAGAACATAGTAATCATATGCATCAAGTTTGTTACATATGCAGTTGATCTAAGGACCCTTGAGAGACTTAGTAAATATGTCAGCTAGTTTAGTAAATACATCAGCTAGTTAGCCATTTGAATTGACAAATTTGGTAGCAAGACACCCAGATTGAATCTTCTCACTAACAAAATGGAAATCACCTTTGATGTTCGGTTCTTTTATGAAATACTCAAATAGAACTTATATGCCTTTACTGCTTGATTATGAAAAATCAACTCTATTTGGTATTTATACTTCATATCTCGATTCCTGAAGTTCCCTTGACCATATAAGTTACAATCATGACATGATATTCAGCTCCTACAGCCCAAGAACCAAATCTTCCAATGCCAAAAAGATATCCTATGCAATCTTGCGATTATGTGACCAAACACAAGAACTGTGGCAGGCCCATATCTAATAAATAAACTCTTATAAATACACTCCAATCTTTTCTTCTTGCCTCTCTCTGAATGCATCACAGGAAGTCAATTTTGTGAAGGATCCAAACTTTTGAATTACACTTTGTTTCATACTCTTCCATCAAAGTAAATCACCCCTAATGAAGACACAGCTTGCACACAAAAAAGGTCTTTCCCAAACCCTTTCCATTATATGTGTGTCAAAACTATGTTGGTTCTAATTTATTGAGAAATTGGTAGTTCAGAATGTCCCCTCAAATGAAACAACACACAATTTTCAGCAAATATCGATGATAGTGTAAGCATGTTCCTTCACTACTAAAATTTTTTAATATGTAAAACTGGACAGAGCTAGTCAGACAAACTAGACGCATTTAAGGACCTATAACAAGATTAGGGGAAAGTAAATTGAAACGGCATTAAAACTTGGATAATTTTGGGAGACAGACCTTCCCATTTAACAAAGATCTTAATGAATGTGCTTTCTCACGCAAGGAAACTGCCTCATGAGCTGCATCCTTCCATCGTTTCAATTGAGCTTCCATCATACCCATTTCCTTAGATAAGGCTGAAGCCATGACATGAAACTCAGAATTAATATCTTTTCTCCCTGAAACATGTCACATCGTTAGAAACTAGAAGATCCAATCCCATGCTTGATGCATCTAAACAGATAGCAGGTAACGTGACCAAACCAGTATCCTGTATAGCTTCTTCCATCTCAATTTCAATGTCATTCTTTTCAATAGTACACTTTTGCAGCTGAAGCTCTAGCTCTTCAATCCCACAGTCAGAATTGTCAGCTGTAAGCCTTGCAGTATCTGCAGACTCTAGTTTTGAGTTCAGTTCCTTTTCCCATTTCACGACATGGACCCTTTCAGCCTGATTTTAATCAGCAAAAAAAAAAAAAAAAAAAAAAACACACACACACAAGGACAAGGTAAGTGAAGGGCCAAATACAGCCATTGATACACCTAAAAAGGGAAAGAAACAGGAAAATCACTTTTAACCTGCAGAGACTCTGTCAATGCTTTATACCGCTCCAATTCAGTATTCCAATGTTGAAGCTGATCATTTACCAAAGAATATAGTCGAGATGAACGTACATACTTGTCATCAGTCAATTCATTCTGAAAATAAGAAAATAAGAACATAAGTACTTTTCTGAAGCGCAGAAGTAACTTTCCCCTATACTTTTCAAGAAAACAAGATTAAACTAGATGGATAGTCCAATCTTATAAACCTGAAGGTCTTGCAAATGCCCTCTTAAAGTCAAATTGTCTTCCTGTGCTTCTTGAAGCTCTGAAAGACGGTCAGCTGCCACTATCTAGGACATTACACAAGCAAACATTTCCATTAGCCTAGGTAGAGAATAAGTAAATAAGTGCAAAAGAAAATGCCATGGCAGACCTTTGCTTCCTCAATGGAATCTTTCAACTCGCGCAGACCCATTGTCTTGTCTGAAGGCTTTTCAGGAGACAGGGTTCCATTAACTGCATCTGAACGAGGCGACTGCATCCCTATTGCTGCATCTTTCTGCATTTTCAGATTGACTAATTTTCTCCTACTCTCTTCAAGTTCAGCCATGCTTTCATCAAGTTCACCTTTCAGCACAAACAGAGGGCACCATCAAATGACAATCATAAGTCATCAGCTCAAATGATTGCATAATCATCGAAGTGAAATCTTGGAAATGAAACCAACAAGCAAGCATGAGATATCTATCAGATAACTATCAAGAATATGACTCAAACTGCATCTTTCAGATATCTAATGGTAGATTTTCATCTCTCCTAAAATTTTCAAGACCGACCAGCTCTTTTGTTATTATATGACTTGTCATCAGTTAAGAAAATGCCCTTTGCTACTCAAGATTTTATTGAAGCAATGCTCAAAATCCTTACTTCTGCTCCAACTTAATACTGAAAGCTGACACTTTGACCCATATTCACAACTGAATTTATCTTATAAAATATTTGAGTAAAACTTCAACTCAAAAAGTTGAAATTATTAAGTTAAGGCCTATAAATAGAGAATTATTATAATCTCTAACAAGCATTTCATATCACATGAAATTCCATTGGACTTGAACTGAGGAAAGAGCTCGGGCTCAACAGACCTTGTTCTGAAAGAGAACAATAGGAAACAAGGGTAAAAGTCTTGACCAATTGGTCATGGGGTTTTTAATACGATGATGATGCTGATGGACAAAGTGAACTGCAGGGTAGGACTTGCGCTAGAAGGGCCAAGGTCATGAACAAGTATGCTAGGAAGAAAGGGAAGTCAGCCCAAGACAACTACAATCAAAACTTACGCTGTTGATTGATTGCTCATGAATAACACCACTGAAATCCTCAATAAAATGCCACAAATCACCAACAAATAAGATGAACCAAATAAACAATGTTCAATAATAAATAGCGAAAATTTACAATGAAAAATAAACAAATAGCATCTTTATAACAAATGCTGACTGTAAAATTAAAGTAATTAAAAATTTCCCACAAAATCTGCTGCTGCAGCTTTTACCATTTACTTAAAATTCAAGCATATCAACAAACCTAAAGAGAAAACCTTGCTATACAAATTTTTGTCTTATAGTAAAACAGGAGAGAAGTAGAGTTATGCAAAATTGCCCCATTATTCTCAGAATCAGCTAAGCTTATACAGAGACCTAAACCAATGAATTGCCTCAGAGTATTCCGTCTAGAGTGTAAAAGAGGCACAAAAGGGGAAAAATTCATTAACAATAGAACAGGAAAGGACATCAGATTTTCACAATACTGCCATGGGTCTTGATCTTCAGTCAAATCAGGATAATAAGTTATGATTTTAATGGAGACAGGATCTAAGGACTCTTTTACTCAATGAAAATATTCATAAGCAAGATTTGCACAACATAACCCTTTCTTTTTATTTTTCCAAAAATGGGAATAAGTTATATCCTTTACAAAGAAAGAGTTACGGTTGCAACTTCTTGCTAAGCCCAATAATGGGCCCAATATTTTCAGTTGACTAGCTGTTTAAATTACATGTTATTTGGTGCATAATCTGAGGTGCAGTGTCATAGGACCATAATCCAGTTTTCATTATGCTTTACTTTGCTGATTATTTCCTCCATGATATTCAGATTAAGCGGCTAATTTTGTGGCTACTACACCAGTATTAGTTGCTGTATTCATTCAATATGGTAATACAGATTAATAGAATTTCCAGGAATTTTCAGTTTATTAATTCCATTTCAGGGGATATTTTCAGGCAACGTGGATTGTAGTCAAACTTAGAGTTCAAACTTATCAACTGAAAATTTATCCACAAAAGTTGAAGACAACAGTAAAGGAAATTACAAAAAAGCTAAATACACCAAGGCACACGCAGAAGATAGAGATGTTTCAAAACCTGCTATGCGTTTAACCTCAAATTGATCATGTAAGTGGCAGCTGATATAATTTTCAATAGCAACAACATAATCTTTATGCTTGACATGGAGAGCATCAATTACTTCACGCAAATTGTTTGCCTCCTCTTTCATCATATCATCAATCTTAGACATTTGAATGATAGCATCTGCAAACCCCAAAATAAGTGGTTAAAAGCTAATCATACCTAGTGGGATAAGGTTTGTTGTTGAATATGAGTGTTTAAAGAAAATCAAATTCACTAGCAACAAGCAGAAAAGGTGAACGGCATTGCTTGGCAACAGGATAGCAGACAAGAAAATTCTGACCTTCTGAAGTTGACCCCTCCAAACCCTGGGTAATACAGTAAGTTCTTTCAATTTGAGCATCAATGGTATCTTCAAGAAGTTTCAATAACTCCCTTGTTGATGACTGACGCAGAGCAAGTGCTTCCTCAACAAAGCTAATGACCTCATCATGATTGTTGGTTTCGATGAAATCTTTCTGTACTAATCTGGAAAGAAAGATATCCTCCACCGGACGCAAAGAAAGTGAATCTAGAGAACAACTCAAGTCAGTCCCTTACATTTTCTTAAAAGTAGCCTAACATTAAAGAATTTGGAATAGAAGAATGTTTACCACATACACACCCAAAGAGGTATGCATAACTATGAATTTACCTTGAGGATTACCAGGGTGCTCCAAATTCTTAAATGCATTTTGGCCTCCCCCGGCTCGTATCCCAAGAAGGATCAGATCATCAGCCAACTAAAATGGAACATAAAAAAGTTCAACCAACATGTATTTTGTACATGAATGAGACAAAGAGTGACTTGTCTTCCACCCCCACCACTTAACAAGAACTGCTATATACGATAGTCTAATTGAAGAGAAAATTTACAGAATCAAAAGATAAATACAAAATGAGGCTAGGGACATGAGGAAGAGGACTATGGAAGCATAACGGCAGCAAATAACCTGACTTCCATCCCCACCATCTAAGATGCACTGCTAAAGCATACTTTTAAAAGAAAATTTAAAGAATCTAAGATTAGCATGGACCAAGAGTGGAGACATGAGGAAGAGAAGCATATTGGTAGACATTAACCTGATTCCAGAGTTCATTCACTGCAATTATCATGTCATCATATGAATTTTCCCTGTATTTTAGATCTTGAATTTTCACTTCAAGGTCATGCAATGCTTGTTTTTGGAGCTCTATCTGTTGAACAAGCTGCTGGTTCTGAAACTGCAAGACTCCCACATCAGCCTGCAGATACATAAGCTTTTTTTTTTAAACAGCTGAAACTTCCAAACAATTTAATGAAAAAGAGACTCAACACATGCAGGACAAATGGCACAGCATAGACAAAAAGAAACATTTAAGGGAGCAAAGGTTATGAGTAGCTTACAGGATACACATGTAATGGATTGTCTTTTTTTGCCCCTAAAAAACCCATAGGAACTCAACGCCCATAAAACCTTTGCTTGAACCTTTTAAGTATGAAAAATATAGCTAATGTACAGCCGTGTGATTCTAAGATATAATAAAGCTCAAAAAATTATAATGAATTTGGATTTATATTAATTGCAAAAGCATGCTAGTGGAGCTAAAGAGACTACAGAAAACAATGGGCCGACTGGGGACACTGTGAAATTTTGTTCTATTTATTCTCATCTCCAACATGCAAATCAGAAGACACCAAGATCATCCTTACTACTACTCACGATAGCCCAAATCAGACTTCCCCTAAGCACATATAAGCAGCCATCGTCTTTCAAGGCTTGCTCACATACAAATGACCATGCAATTTTGCTTCTCTAACAGGAGACAGAGTTTGATGTTTCCCAATTTGTGGTTCATCGTCATATGTGGTATGAATACACATATGCCGAATGTGTGTACCTGTTCTTCCATCAGCCATTATACACTCAATTCTCTTATTCAACACTCTCTCTCTCTCTCACTTCATCTTATTCAACAGGCCAGCACTCTTCCTCTTCCTCTCTTCAGTTCTGTTTCATCATTGTCCAATTGTAGTTTGCAAACATATTATAGTTCTGTACAGACAACCGCAAGAAGGATTTACTGGAAAGAAGGGTGATTTAAACAACATTGACTTTTTTAGATGGATGTTATTGAATTCTATTTCTATCTCACAAAATCAATACCTTTTTTTTTTTAATAACTTTTTTTACCTAGAGATACCAATATCATTTTTCACCCATAAAACATCTTTGTGCATTTTACTAGGTGAGCTCTCGTGAGAAATGAGCCTCTTAGCAAGCTGCTAAATAGTCCAGCTTCTTATAGATTTTTGCAATATATAGACACACATATAGATTCTTCCATCTATTTTATTCTATTTATGCAAACCCGACCGACCCTTGGCTACAATGCACTAGTTTCACCTATCTTGCATTCCTAAATAGTAAATACTGAAGAATGAAATCGTATTACCTCACTCTGCCAGACAAAACGGCAATAAGAATTAACTTACACGGCAGAAAGGGGAGTGTCTTACCCATGAACCAGCTGAAAGCAAATCACAAAGTTCGAAAATACCATATATATATATATATATATATGTATATAATATATACATTCAAAATAACGATGGGACTTACACATTTGTTGTTGGTAGATGGATTGGTTGAATTCAGCGCCATGGGTGAGGATACCGAACTCAAATGCGGCCTCTTCTTTTCGGGTTCATCGGAGTCGACGTCCTCCATTCTGACATCAGAAAGAAAGCCCAACAGAGGCCATTAGAAATGACGAAGTGCCACGTGGCGAACCCGAAGGCGTGGTAGCCCAAAATCCGATCATCAAAAGGAAACATTGCTGCCAATTTTTCACGGCTACTGATGGAAAGAAAGAGGAAAAGAAAGGAAAAAGATGAAAACGAGGAAATGAAGAACCTACCTATTGAACACGAGCTTTCAGTTGTTTCTTAGTTATTCAATATATAGTAGTAAACCTCGAGCTTCATTGGGGAGCTAGAGTGGGCTTCATTTTCAGCGAAGCCAGCACTTGTAGTGCCGAGAGAGGTTAACCTTGATCAAGCTCTACCTCGCCGAGTGCTCAATTGTTGATTCTTCGAGTTCTTCGGTGTTCAGGACAAAAGCTTCTGGTTTCTCGATGCCCTCGTATGGCAGTGTTAAATGACCCCGCCGTGTCTCCAAATGCGTGGCCGCGGCATTTGCAACTTCTACTCTGAGCAATTTTTTTGGTTACTGAACTTTACAAAGGTACGGTATGTGTTTAAAATCATACATTTGAAATTGTTTTAAAAAGTTGGCCAAAAAACTTATTTTAAAAAATTAAACTTAATATTTTGGTATTTAAAAATATTTGATTAATATTTAAGATTACAAAATTATCATTTTTATTAACGGTTTAAAAGTTAGAGAACTAAAAATATATTAACCTTTGTAATTTAAAAATTATCCATTAATTAATAATTTAACATTTAACATTTAACGACTTACAAATAAAAAGTGAACAATTAACAATAACAATAAGGACAATATTTACATCAAACTTCTTATATTCATTATGTCAAGTTTTCCAATTACGCATGATCATATGTCTTTTTTTAAAATATGAACATTTAATAGCATTTAATTATAAATTCATATTAAATAAAAAAAGACACTATAATTGATTGTTTATTGCAAAAATAATTAATAATTAATTTTAACTCGTTAGAAATATTATAATGTTCATAAACCTCTTACTCTTGAGATTAATATGTTATCAAAATCCTAAAAATGATTATTTGGATGCAATTAAGCTTATAAAGGATGGAAATAATGATCTTCATGCTAACTAGAATTTAATTCTAAAAAGTCATGCAAAGCTTCAACAATAATGATTTGCTGATCGTCAACACATTCAAAGATAGAATAACTCTAAAGCTGATATGCTCGCCAAGTGTGATTTAGTAATGTCCCTTGAATTTCATTTGATTCCATTGCATAATTTTCGTTTATTTATTTCTTTTTTGTATTGTACAGTGGTAATACAGTTTTCTTTTACTATAAAAAAAATTATCAAAATCTAACCTAAGTTGACCACTCAAACTAGTATGTCGTTGAACCAATTTTCTAGCCAATCTAATCAAGAGTTTTAAACAGGTCAGCTAAGTTGAATTCTATATTTTTCACTCTTCTTTTTATTAAACCTAAAATATACTATCGTTTTATGTTTTGAGATCAAGGAAAAAAAGAACATGATGAGATCTGTGTTTTAATAAAAGGAGAATTACAATTAAGTCTTAAAGAAAGCAAATAATTACTCCTTCCGGTCCTAAATATAAGACCCATTTTGTATTATAATTTATAACACAAAATGGGTCTTATATTGAGAACCGGAATAGTACAAAACAAGTCTCAGAAGTTTTTATTATCTACTTTGAAACTTCTCATTACAGACTACTGAGATTATTATTAGAACTTTTTAGTAATTTTTTTTAGGGACTTGATTATAATTCTCCTTTTAATAAATCATGTATAGTTATTTTGGTTGTGTCTGGTTTGTTGTGTTTTGTTTGTAGGTCCTCTAGTAGTTGCATGTTTTATATTGCACCTTTTGTTGCTTCATCACATTGCAATACTGCCGATGCTCCACTCTGGCTTCGCTCAAACATCATAGTTATAAACATCATGAAGTATCCAGTTATGGAGGTGCTTGGTGGAGGCATTTCTTATTGGGTCTTCTCTGTTTGGCTCTTCAGTTACCATCCGGCAATGTCCTATTTTCATTGAAGATGGTTGCATCATGCATGGTGGGAGATTTGGGCTATGTCCTATTTCGTGGTCACTAACTCTCATATGGAACTTCATTTGATAAAATGATATAAGAAACTTAACATAAGTATTATCCTGTTGTTATTATACTTCTCCTTAGTTAAATAATAAAACTGTCTTTTTTATCTAAAAAAGAAAATTTATCTATAGTTTATACATAAATGTGTATATTAACATCTTTTTTATTTAATATTATTTTGATATTTTAATTATAAATGATCTAATAGCAAGTTGATCCTGATTTGAGTAACTAACCCCTGAATCATTTACCATCCCGTTTTTCAACTCTTTGAATCAAATACTTTAATCTTTCCAATTCTTCTATCATTAGCAGCCCTTATAATTCCTCTTGGCTCTTGAGAGGCTTTATTCAAAGTGCGGACTCATCTTGGAGTGACTAGAATGGAGAGTAAGAAATGGTTCATCAATCCCTTTTAACCGCCATCTTTGGTGGTCAATGTAAGCAAAACTTGTAACTGTTCGACTGTTTCACTCTATTGCAGGTCTTTACTGCATAGCCAATTCTCTTGGAACCTCATCCATTAGAATGTTCCTCTTCTTTCGTTATTATATGCTTCAAATATTGCTAATGCCATTTTGAACATCCTACTTTCTATTACTGATCAACTTGATTCTTTGACTTGGAATGAGAATGCCTCAAGATGTTGCTCCGTCAAATCTGGCTTCAAACTTCTTATGTGTAATCAAGATCATCACTAGCAATATCTTTTAGGAAGTTCTTCTGGTCCATAGCTCTGTCTTATAAATTTCCTTTGGATAATCTGAAAGCTGTTACATAATGTGATTCTTGCAACTGATGCTTTAACGAGGCATCACCTTACCCCTCGTCTGTGGGTTCAGCTGGCAAAAGGGACGGACTTTCTCACCAAAAAGGGGGAGTTCGATCCTGAGAAGTATCACTTTGTTATGGCTCCAATCGCGACGCTGGGAGAGGCATCTCCACAGTGTAATGAAGCTGGATAATTCCTACCTATTAGGCCGGGGGGGAAAAAAACTTGCTTGTCATGCTCATATGCCCGTAGGAACAAGCCCCAGTGAATCAAACGTTAGATGCTCTGTCCTTGAATCGTGGGTGAGCCCAACCCCTTTCCTAAAATTTCTGTATCAAAAAAAAAACGAGGCTTCACCTTAATGCAAGTGGACAATGCTTGTTTGGTTGCCATTGTGATGAATCTTCGGAACAAATTTTCATCTCTTGTCCCTTTACCCATGTTGTTTGGTATGACTTTCATCTCTTAGCTTGGCATAACTCTTCAAGTACTCCACCATGACAGTTTTCTTGAGTTATGATGCGAGGAATTATCATTCTTATTAATTTTATTTGGATGAAGAGAAATATTTCCTTAAATCATGGAAAGAATCATGATCTACAGCAAGTGATCAAAGGAATACTTCATGCAATCAAGTTCACAAATCTTGCCTTTCAGCAGGACTATCAGCAGGATGATTGTCCCAATCAGGTTATGAGGAAGACTCTAGTCATCAAACTAAACTACTTATGATAGCTTGTAAATGACATGACTTCATATCAATTTTAGAATCTGTATTATGTCCCTATGACTTCCACACACGAATGGTGCCATCCACAGAAGAGCTTATCATACAGCTTTCTCTCGGATGATAGCTCACGCTCGTTACCTGCCAGAAGATCACTGATCTTTGTAAGATGCAATAAAAAATATTATAAACTGAAGAGATTAACGAAGATAAATCTAAATCGATTCAGTTTGATACATCTAACAAGATTATAAACTGCTTTGTTTGATAATCCATCACCGATTTTTATACAGATACGCTGTTGCCCAACATCAGGTCAGAAGATAAATCTAAATCTAATAATCAATTACTCTTGCAGGAGATCTTGGACAAAGAACCTTCTTATTATTTCAATTATTAAATCAAATGTTGGATGACAGTTTTGGTGCAGTGGTTTCAACAAAACGTAGAAAAGTTGGCTCAATCTTTCTCCGTTGGCTCAACCCCAAGTCAAATACTGCATACTATATCAAACAATTATTGTGAACAAACAGAGAACAACTAGACAACAGCTCAATAAACCACCAGTAAGAGGAAATGGAATGTTTATTGCTATTGGAGCAGAAGAAGGAATTAATTCTTTTAAGGAAGCCATACTACATTACCAACATATCTAAAATAACCTCCTAGCACTATCTTAATGCGATTTTCTTTAGGCATGCAAAAGGCAATCAAAAACTTTACCACTGAGGTATGAGCTCTGAATCTTGACACAACTGATGCATCAACAAGATCCCAGAAATAGATGAAGCCATCCTCAGATCCACCGGTCACATGGGCATCCGTATTGGTGAGGCAGCAATCCAATTTGTAAGACTGAGAGCAACTCAAAATAAATGACAATATTCCATAAAATGGTTCAGGCAAAGGACCCGTATGCTCACAAGTCCAAATACACAGCAAATAACTTTTCCTTTTTTGGTTGGATGACCAAACAGGAAATAGCTTTAAGATTGAACAATTGCATTCAACCGAACAAACCAAATTGCACATCTGATTGGACAATGCAATACAGAACATCAGAAAGTGCTAAAACAGTATTTAGGTAACTAAAGAAATACCTTACAAGTATGACCTTTGTATTCTTGCAACAGTTCACCTGTCGTTCTATCACAAGAAAGGACATTAGAATTAATAAAAGCAAACAGCTAAGTTTCCATCCAAGTTAGATTAATACCTGTCCAAAAGTCGAAGAGTAGAATCTAAACAACTGCCTAGTATGCAATTACCATCATTTGACATTGAAATACAGTTGACAGGTTGCCCCAAGTCATCAGATATTTCTCTAGATAATATGAACAAAAGCATTAGTAGTTTCATAACTTGAACATATCGTAATGCAGCAACAAGCATGTTTTCAAATTTAGAATCTCATCAAATGAGCATTACTCAATGAGTTTCTAAAATCAACTAAGGAGCACAATCTATCGTGTTGTGGTCTGGTAAACTACATACCTGCCAATACGGATGTCAAATGTTCGAACAGTTCCATCAACACTACCACCGATAATTTCAGTTTTTGTCAAACAAACAGACATAACACTGTCTGAAAACGTGTCAATAATCTGCCCAACAACAGTAATTCTCGATTGACAAGCCAGTACAAAGGAAAGTAGTGACTTGGGCCACATTGATCATCATCATAAGGAAAACAGGACAAGATAGAAACTCGCAAGTGCACCTGAATCGGCTCAGTGCTATGGGATCTGCAGTCCCAAGCACGCAATGATTGATCATAGCCAGCTGAAACTACAACAGATGCATGCTCATTGAACTTTACAGCATTTACCTAAATAAGAAATGATGAACCAGAAACTAAGTGACAAAGTGGTGAGCATAAGAAGAAAACGCTTTGGGTGTCACATAAGAAAAGTAACAACCATACCTCACTATCATGGCCCCGAAATTTTCGAATTACACGTCCTGTTGCCACATCCCAGTAAAAGATCTGTCGATCTCCACCACAAGAACATAACTTGGAGTTGTCCCTATGGGAAATGAGAATGTTAGCATTCAAGCCAGACAATGCCATGAGAAGTAACATAAAATCAATAGCACGTAATCATGTGATTACATTTTCAATTTCCTCCCATTTCATCTAATGATGAACTATATACATGCATGGCCTTTAGGAAAATCTTTAAACTGCATACAAGTATAACACCAGGACAACAACTCCCTGCGGCTGGCACTAGTGAACTTCTATGACAAGCACTATCAAGAAAAACAAAAGTTGAAGGATCATTTTACATTTTCTATCTAAACTTACCCATGTTTGTGATCCTAAATCACAACATGCATAATTCCCCTGTGCATGTTCAAAAGATTTTCCTTTTCAAATGCAGTATTCAGCGATAGGGCTGGTTTTCAGGTCAGTTAAGGTAACAGTACCACCAATTCAATAGCCAGACTGGAAAGATTCATCCTAGAGCAGATATAAAGAGAGAATGGGAATAAGAAGGTACAAGGTGACATGGACATCACGGACTTCACGGCCATGAGCTTTGTAGGTCTTGATATGAATACCACGGTGAGGATTCCAGAGACGAATGGTACGATCTTTGCCGCAACTCAAGCAGTAATTACCGTCACCATTGAATCTTGCCGCCAGCACGGCACCCTCATGCCCTTTTAGCACGTTAACCTCCTTCTGCGGCAGATCCGCAACACCCATTTTTTGCTACAAAAATGGATCAAGTGTAGGAAGGAAGGTTAGAGTATCCTGAAGTGAACAGCTATCAGCTGTTAGATCTTGTGAACAAACCAAATCCTTCCAATGATGATGATGATAATGCAGAATTGAAATCACTTCACAATTATTATTTGAATTAGGTATTGCAAAATTTTGACATATTCTTTCCTTTATTTTGTTATTTTTGAGTGCCTTTTTTTTTTTTAAAGAAATAACTTCATAAATAACATGCTCCACTCCTTTAATCTCCCAAACTTCCTTATATCACTTGATAACGATTTTAAACGTAGAAAAGTAATTAATTCTTACATTATAATTTCACTGAAAACTAACATCATTATATTTCATTCCCAAATTCATAAGGTTTCCTTCTCAAGTATTAAATCAAACACTTCAAGTGCATTACACAAATTAACTCATAACAATTGAACCATCTTAATTCAATCCAATTCCTCTTCTACACAATGTAACCAACATCTCACGTGCGTCTTCAAATTTATTCATAAACAATCACTATGACCACAATTCGGTGTAAAATTATAGAACTCCCAAATTTTATCACTACACAAGATTTGCATCATAATCATACGAAATAGGATGTCAATTCTTCTTCACCATTAAGATACTTTGGAAATATACTTTCAATTAAGTCTCTTCTCTTCCAAACATTCCATCAAACACCTAGTGGGCACTCAAGATTTTCTCAAATCCACAACTGGAATCATGATATTTTAATCCTCTCTAGTTGTTCATTTTAACTTTAATTCTCCCCTAATATACATTTTATCAAACATCTATCATACATACAAATGAAATTAGCAAAATAAAGTTCCTCTTCTTCTTCTTCTTTTTTCCCCATTCTCAGACTTATTTTGAATTGTAATCTCCTTCCTATATTCACCCACAGCAGCTGAAACATTAAGAAGGGTTATATTTAACACCACCCACCCAGCAACAACAAAGAGGAAACCGGAGGCAACTTCAGTCTATACACACAGCCACAAAAGTTCAGGAAATTGAGGAATTTGAGCTCACCCAAAACTACACTTGCAGCAAAGTATGGAAGAAGAAAAGAAGATTCATTACAGCACCCCACACTCAACGAACAGATTAGATGAAGGCCGAATTGAAGAAGCAAATTCAAGGAAATAAGTTTACAACCACCACAACGTTGGCTGAGGAGAACAGAGGATAAGAACGCCGAACAGAGGATGAAAAGAAGCAGCAATCCGAGATATTGAGCGTAGGAGGAGAAGATGGCGGTGGTCCCTGACACACCGGCGACGACAAGGAGACCGGCGAACGACGGACAGGAGCGATGGAGCTGAAGAGGTGTGAAGTCCCCGGCAAGGGAGGAGGAAAATAAAATCATCTGATGCCCTTTGCCTTTTCTTTTTCTTTTTTTTTTTAACAGTAAAAAAAAGGAAAAATCCCAAAAAAGCGATAACTAAATTTCAAAATTTCAAATCAGTACTAGTTACTACACTCATAAAGAAAATGACTACATTCAAAGAGTAAATGACAACACATTTTTATAATAATTTCTAATTTGGAATTTTGAAATTCAGTAGTCACTTTTTTAGGAGTTTTCCTAAAAAAAATTCCAGTACCAAACTACAAAGTTTTCTTTCTTACCCATCTGCATAAATTGAAATATTAGCTTATGTTATTTATGTATTTATTCATCTACTATGTCTTGATTGTTAATATAATAGTTATATAACTAACTTAAAATTTAAAAAAATTATTAAATTGGTTATCTCTAACAAATATGTATATATATTTTTAAGGGAAAATTACGTACAGGTCTCACAGAAGACAGTTTATTCATCTAAGGTCCCACGAAATGTCAAAATCACTAACAGGTCCCAAGGGACCTCAGAGTAATATATTCTACTTGTAAAATGACATTACTGCCCTTCACATTCCAAATTCACATTTGCTCTGTTATTGCGATTTACAACCTCAACAGCAACTATTAACAACCCAATGAGAGGGCGTTAACAACCTAAGCAGTATCCGTTAACAACTTACTTTATAGAATCATATAACCTCCACATAAGAGTAAATTATAACCAAATAGTATAATACAACAATTTTAACACTAAAATGGGAAGCTTTTTGATATCATTAAGAATTTTAACTAAATTCAATAGGATTATAACAACATTTTAATGCGAAGATCCATTTACAACCTCAACGGTGAGTATTAATAAGATAAGGAGAACTGTTAACAACCTTAACAGTGTCTATTAACAACTAACTTTATCAGATAATATAACTTCTAATTATAACTAACTAAATTATAACTAAATAGTATTAAAGTTAATCTTATATAGTTGTTAGAGGTTATATTATCTTATAAAGTCAGTTGTTAACAGATACTGCCTAGATTGTCAACAGCTCTCTTTGGGTTATTAATACTCACTGTTGAGGTTGTAAATGGATCTTCGCATTAAAATATTGTTATAATCCTATTGGGTTTAGTTAAAATTCTTAATGATATCAAAAAGTTTCCCATTTTAGTGTTAAAGTTATTGTATTATACTCTTTGATTATAATTTACGCTTATGTGTAGGTTATATGATTCTATAAAGTAAGTTGTTAACGCCCTCTCATTAGGTTGTTAATAGTCGCTGCTGAGGTTATAAATCGCAATGATAAAGTAAATGTGAATTTAGAATTTGAGGGGCAGTAATGTCATTTTACAAATAGAATATATTATTCTGAGGTCCTTTGGAATCTGTTAGTGATTTTGACATTTTGTGGGATCTTAGATGAATAAAATCTCTTTTGTGGGACTTGTACGTAATTTTTCCCTATTTTTAAACTATCTCATTTAATCATGTATATTAGAATTACCTTTTAATATACAATCAACAAGGATATTATGAGAAAAAACTTATAATTTTAAGAGATAAAATGAAGTGAGATCAAATATTTAGAACCAAATTTAACTTCTTAACTAATTTTTATATTAAGCAGCAAAGATATTTTATTATTATTATTTTGAAGGCTATTACAGATTTCCCCTGCATCTCGGAACACACTCTTAAGATCTCACAATCATGAATGCTGGCTCTAGTGTCCATCACTGTTGTCATCCACAACCTTTTTTTTTTTTTGCCCCCGCAGCTTACTAAACTTGAACAAGTCATTCTAACATTCAAACTACCTACCATATGAGCATCTGATGTCCTCAAGCATGGTGCATAAGTCACCATGAGGTGAGGATCCCTTTTGGGGTCCCACCTTACTGCCTTAGGTGACTATACACTGTTAGCATTCATCAGAATTTGCTGATTCTTGTTTCTGGCAGACAAAAAACAATTAGGTTCTTGGACATCCAGAACTCTGAGATCGTTGGTTCAGGAAACCTCAGTGTTCCTGCTTGTGCTCCCACCATGGGAACTGCATTAATCATTATGTTCTTTGTTTCTTACGAAAAAAATAATACATATCAATGTTGATATGTACGCATGTATGTATCTATATTAACATATAAACTGATATACGTGTGTGTGTGTGTAACACTGAGAAGTCCTGCAAGAAATACATGGCCGGCCGACCTGGACAAAAGCTTCAAGCATAACAAGTGAAGCACACATTTAGTTTATACAGAGAATATCTTGTACTCTCTACCACATGGTCATCTCGCATTAAATTTGCAGCTGAACAATGCCCTTTCTTTTGTATTCTGGCTCATCATGCATGCAGAGTTTCATGTATAGATAAAAACACTCTCGATGATGAAAACCATTAATTAAATTTGAGGGTTTAAAAATCTGATCAACCTCAATAAATTTTAGACTTGTGTGCGCGCGCGCGTGTCAAAGTATTGTAAGTTACAGTCATCCATGGCAGAAGTTTGGGATAATAGACTGAATCAAACATCACAGTAAAAATGGACTACAAATCCTTTTAACATCTGTCTAATTACATGACTAAACAAATTGAGAAACTTTAACTAGCCATTGGTGGTTGTTGCATAGCTATTAGTAAGATCATAATCGAAAAGCTCAATCACCACATGCAGACTCATAAACCATTTATAGCATAAAAACTGAATATTACTTCTTGGTTTGATGTTCCCCCTCCCCTGTCTCTTTTGCAGCTATTTTGGTTCAGTATGCAGAAAAGTAATGCATCATGGTACCAAATAGCATTTAGCGGGAACTAAAATCAGGAAAGTAATTTCCTATTCAAAATCTTGGGGTTAGCAAGCTATATATATGCCGAGTAAAAAACAAAGATATGAATCAACTAACCATATAGCACACCTTTATCATAAACAAAAGGCAGCTCACAAAATATTGAATTTCTCAATACAGCTTTGCCGTGGAAACAATAATATGTACAAATTATATCGGACATTTCGTCATAGTGAATATTTTGCCTTTGGGTTTAAATTTGACCATCACTCACAAGTCACAACCATTAAGTAGACTTCAAAATGCATAACTACAGAATGTAACCACAATGCAGAATTTCCAAAATTATACCATCATCATAGTTGCGGAGGTATGAATCAAGGACAATGATAATCAATTTCCAACTCCAGCTTTATAAACACCATAACTTATTCCTGAACTCCATGTGTTTATTCAATCTCAAAAGAAACCAAAAACTTGCTATTGCACAGGAATATCAGCAAAACCACGTTGCATAAATCAGAGTCAATAAAAGCTGCCTTCATGGAAATGATTAGAGCACTTGATGTTTTCTGCATTATTTATAAATGTTAAATAATTTAATGGAGAAAAACCAAATATAAGTCACGTTTTACGCTCAGTATAATCTAAATTTTCAAATTAAAACAACCTAAACATTAGTCAAGATACCATATCATTGTAAGTGCAAGGTACAAACAATGTAGCTAGGAACACCATAAAATAGTGCCAAATATAAGCTAAAAAACAGACACTTTGCTGTCAATGTTTGATTTCTGATAGAGGACTCATCACAAAATGCTCAAACATTAAGTATGATTAGATTGAAAAAAAAAAAACACACATAGATGCACAGTTAGCAAATAATGTAACTAAAACCACACCACAATAAAATGAAACACATTATTTAAGACAAACAAACAAATATTGACAGTATTTAGTATTTACAAACCACAGAAGCAAACTTCACATCCAGGACAAGAATGCACTCTTGATGCATTCATCTTGTCTCTATTATATCTTCTAGCCTTCTAGTCAGTAAGACAGGACACCGTTTTCTTTATTTATAAGATACAGGCTATCGAAATGACATCCAACAAAAGCATTGAAAAATCCACCAAGTCCCAAATGCTTCGTTGGTTCTCTCTTGGGATCCAACAAAACTATCGCATCACTCCAAGATTGAAGTACCACCTCCCCACTACTGCTGAGGGCTAATACTCTAGATATGCCCTCAAACCGACTTGAATCAAAATGATACGCTTCAGTCCATGATTCCATAACACCATATTCTTTCATCACCCAGATACTGAAAAAAGTTCCATCAAATTCCGCAGAGTCTTGCCTTAGAACCACAGCAAGGGAATCACTTCCTGCCAAAATTGATACCATGAAAGGTGACTCTTCCAAAAGTTTCGGCAACATCAATTCACCAAATGTGTCTTCGGCCAAGTTAAATGTCAAAATGCAATTACGTATCCCACCATTAGTTCTACAGTTGACAACCCAGTGTATTACACCATTCACAAACATCTGGGATGTCTTCCATACATTTGTAGAAATGAGAAACGGAGGAACTCTAGTATTGATGCTTCTCCAGCAATTAGTAGAAAGAGAATAAACCTCAACTTCTGGATTATCTTGGCGTTTGGAGCTCAAAAGCCTTACAACCTTGAAATCATCGTTCCTAGAATCAAATCCGAACCCAAAAAATACTCTATGATGCCTCTCTTCCCTGTTGCTTAAGATTACTCCGGGCTTGGGAAGCACCACATATTTTCGGATAGATGGGTTCCAAATAATCTGATTAGCACCATCTATCGCTTTATAGTCACCCAGACATACCAGTCCATTACAAGTGCCAATCACACGAGAATACTTTTCCAGGAACAGATGACTGAGAGGGAATTTGGAAATCGATAGGCGATCGACTTGTTCGTTATCTAAATAAACGGCGTAAAATTCCTCAAAGCAATTACCTGCACCTTCTTTTTCTCGACGATAGAGGTGAAGAAAAAGGGATCCATTGTTGCGATGATCCAGTTGGAGGGAACGAAAGAGGTAACCATGTATAAAACCTTGATGGGTGATGAGGGCCCTCCAAGATTTGCATACGCAGGTGCATTTCACGAGAGACTTGGGGCACAATCTGAGAAGAATTTCCAACAAGATTTCTGAAGGGAAAGAGTCGGACATTGCATGAACGATATAAGATCGAATTTTAGCGGGGGAATTTATGAACCTTTCTTTCCCTGTTCTGTCTCGGCGCTTTCACGTTCGTTTCTGATCACTTCAGACCTCAGCTTGATAGTACCTGGTATCGTTTAGTGAAAGCAACCATTTTCCCTGGTCACTATTGGCTTCACGATCGGATGATTCAACGATCAAGCCGTGGTTGACCTTCTGCCTCCCTGCGGGCAAGTGGCCAGTGCCCAGTGGGGTTGACTTTCTTTGGGAGAAGCCGGAAAAAAATCATGGGAAATTTCAATCTAGGACCGCTGAAGCAAATTTATTTCAGTCAACTCCAAAACAATCTGAAACTTCACCGCAGGACTTAGGGGAAAAGTAAAATTAATTCGACAAAAAAAAAACGCAAATATCCTTGTTAACTTTGCTGTTGAAACCGAACAGAAAAGGACCGAAAATCAGAAAAAACATTCATTCTACTCTTCTCTCTTTTACACTGAAATCTCTCTGGTATGCTCTTTCCTTTTGTATTTCAAAACTCATCATTCGTCTATTCGCTGTGGCACTCTAAAAAGTCACCAAAATCATCCAAGGAGATTCATTATCGTTTGTTATACTGGTTCTCTCACTCTCAAAACTCGTATATGGATCTATTATTAGGTTTGAATGGATCTGTTATTTTTTAAACATGAAAAGTCTATATTCTATGAGATACTTAATTATTGCTTGTTATAGTAATAGTGGGTATTTTGTCCAACATATTTGTAAGTCTGAGAATCCCGTTGCTTGAATGGGTGTTGTGAAAGGAAATTTGCAGAAAAATAGTAATTTGACATTGCTAAAATATATGTATTTGTATTATAAATTTGCAAATTCAAGTTGTTTAGGAAAATGACAATTCATGTTGTGAAAACTTGTATATCTCTTGCTAATCTGTAAATTTCTATTGTAAACATATACAATTAGGATATTAATAACAACAATTAGTGACTTTACAGCATGATGTTCTAGAATTTTACCTGTCATAGGCAAGGATGGTGCAGGAGCGTAGAGCATGACAAGTGGAGAAACACTTGAACTAAGTTCTGGCATATGAAGTTAGTTGCTATTGCAAAACTACTTCAACAGATAAAGACGCCACCAAAAAGAAAGTGATCACATCACAGACTGATAAATTTTCTATTTGACATGTAATTTAAGCTATTTGGAATTATGTTAAAAGTTGTGAATAGAGAATTTGAACAATTTTCTTTTTAGAAAATATATATTTTGCGTATGTTGCAAGTTAATTAATTGTAATTTTTAGTCTTTTCCTACTAATTTACAAGTATGTGATGTATTATTCACAATTGGAATTAGAAAATATGTAATAAGAATAAGTTGATTTGTTAGAGAAACTCATCCATTGCAGATGAGTTAATATAACTAAAAAGTTGAACATCATAATATAACAAGTCTAGAGAAATTATTCACAAGTGAAATTAGGAAATTTCCAAAACGGATATGCACATTAACAACAAGAACTCATCTATTTGCAAATAAACTAATATGATTAAAAAAGTCGAACATGTTGATTCATAAGTCTGGGAGGACTTATTTGAACTGAAATTATAAAATTTGCAACATGCATACATATATTAACAATAACAATATGCCCATTCACAAGTGATAGTTGAATTGAAGAAGTTGAACAAAATTCACAACTCTGAGATGGCCTATTTGCAATTGGAATTAGGAAATTCGCAACACGCATATGTATATTAACAACGTGTCTATTTGCAAGCGAGCTGGTTGAATTGAAGAAGTTGAACAATTCACAAGTTTGGAAGGATTTATTTGCAACTAAAATTAGAAAATTTGCAACAAGAATACATATATTAATGATAAGAACACGACCATTTGCCGGTGAACTAATTAAATTGACAAATTGATCACGAGTTTAGGAGCGAGTGTTCATTTATAACTAGAAATAGAGAATTTGCAACAAAAATATGTATATTAACAATAATAACACGTTCATTTACAAGTGAACTAATGAACTAATTGAATTGATAAGTTGAACATAAGTCTAGGAGCGAGCGTTCATTGACAACCAGAATAAGGAAATTTGTAACAAGAATACGTGTGTTGCCACTAGTTACATCTCTTCTATTCACAAGCAGAGTATTTAAAATAAAAAGTTTATGCAAAAGTCTGGATGTTTCATTTATAACCGGAATTAGGTAATTTGCAATAGAGATGTATATATGTATTAACAACAGAAATACATCCATTCGTAAGTGGACATAGTTTTTCATACATTTACATTGTTGTCAACCAATTTCAGTGCAGTGGTGAGGATAGCTTATTGTCTAGTACCGTCATAACATTTTTCAACTATCACATCATTATACAATATAGATTCCAATCCACCACCAAAAATATTAAATGGATTGTCATAGCTACTTCCCCAATCAATCCAAAAATATATATTGAGATTCATTCATGTGTAAAAGCGACTCTATATTAAATCAGAAAAGACTATTTTCGGTAATAAAATCACATAGGGTTTAGGGACAAGTCTTTCTAGTATGACTAATTTCACCACCTCTTGAGAAATTATGCATTTTCTTCTGCTAGAATTATGATTCAATCCTCCTAATTCTAAGCCTTCCAGGATGGTGAGTAATCAATGGTGGTTGCAAATTCTTCACAAATTCACCTCCCACATAGGAGATGCAAATTAATTGTTTTCCACTACTGCTAGCCTTTTGTTATCTGTAGCTGAGCATCATTCAAGTATCAATTTCAATCAACTTTCAATAATTAAACACATTATATATTTACAACAAAAATTTGTGAATTAGCAAGAGATATATAAGTTTTCACAACACGATTGCCATTTTCCTAAACAATTCAAATTTGCAAATTTATAATACAAATACGTATTTTAGCAACATCAAATCACTATTTTTCTGCAGATTTCCTTTCACAGCACCCATTCAAGCAACGGGATTCTCAGACTTAAAAATATGTTGAACAAAATACCCACTATTACTATAACAAGCAACAATCAAGTATCTCATAGAACAAAGACTTTTCATGTTTAAAAATAACAGATCCATTCAAGTCTAATAACAGATCCATATACTAGTTTTGAGAGTGAGAGAACCAGTACAACAAATGATGATGAATCTCCTTTGGACGATTTCTGCGACTTTTCAGAGTGCCACAACCAGTAGATGGATGGTGAGTTTTGAGATGCAAAAGGAAAAAGCACGCGACAGAGATTTCAGTGTGAGAGAGGGAAGAGTAGAAATAGCTGGGAATCAGGGCTGGTCCGGCCCTAGCCCTTCAGGGTTGGTGAGCTTAAAAGGGTCGGCCCTCCAAGGATGAAATTTCAAAAATACCACGATTTGCTAGGCCCGACCCAAGCTACAGGGCTCAGGGCCAGGCCGCGGGCTTTTGGCCCGTTTAAGAAAAAAATTGTTATTTTTTATATTTATCATCTTTTCATAAAAAAATAAAAATAAACCAATAAAATTATTAATAAAAGACATAAATATGAATAAAATTAAATCACAAATATAAAATATCCTCATATATAAATATCCATCAACATCCAAGAACATCTAAAATATTTATTAACAAGATAACAACATTCAAAAGTTTTATCTATAGTGCAATTGTATAATAAATAAACACTATTATTAATCTCTTGAAACTTCATCATCACTATAATTAATTACTCTTCTTCATAAGTATGTTTTTCTTTCGTAATAAAAATATCAAGTTTTTCTTCTTTATAGGAATTTTACTTTTAAATTTTTTAATCTAGATATTATTTTACTTTAATATGAGAAATATTGTTCTTGAAACTCATGAATTTCTAATTCAAATTATAGAATTACATGTTATATAAGTATAAAAATACTCTATTATCAAATATATATGTGTTAAAAATATCAACGCATATAATATAAATCAAATCATTATTAAAATCCAAATTAACCTATTTTTTGAAAAATTTAATTGGATAAATTATTCTCTAAAACTAAATTTAATTTTAAAATGATAATAATAACTAAATATTTGAAATATGATTAACAATGTAAAAAATTAGTAACATTAGAATTATATAAAAAATTTACAAAACAAAAAAAAATTATAAAATGGCTTAAACGGGCCGGCTCGCGGCCCTCTAGGGCCGGCCCTTTTAAGCCCTCGACCCTCCAAGGCCGGCCTTCAGGGTTTATTTTCCATTTGAAGGGAAAAATATCAAGCCTGGCCCTCATAATTTCAGGGCCTAAACGGGCTCAGCCCGTTTTCCTGGCTCTAAATAGAATGAAAGTTTTTTTTTTAATTTTCGGTCCTTTTCTGTTCAGTTTCAACAGCAAAGTTAACAGGGATATTTGCGTCTTCTCTTTTTTGTCAAATTAATTTCACTTTCGCCCTAAGTCCTGCGGTGAAGTTTCAGATTATTTTGGGGGTTGACTGAAATAAATTTGTTACAGTGGTCCTAGATTGAAATTTTCCCAAAAATAATAGCTGCTTTGCATAGTTATAAAAACTAATTTAGAGGGTATTTGGATAGAAACCAAATCATGGTTTTAGAAGTGCTTTTACGGATTACAAAGCAAATATGTGGAGGAGATTACCTCGTTTTGCGGAAAGCGCTTCTGAAATCGCAGTTTTGAGGATGCCAAGCACCCCCTTATAATTTAACTAGATTAAAAAATTTTATTAAATTAATTATTTATAATAAATATGTATTTTTTTAATGCCAACAAGGTGTCACAATGAGTCACTCGTTTAGAGTTCGGTGCGGGGATCAACCCCCTTCCTTCAGGCTAGTTCAGCCCTGCCCCTAGATAAGAAACCGACCAAAAGCATCGCAATAGACGCAACAGCAGCCTGCGCCCACTGGCACTTTCCACCTAGTTCACTGACCTCACAAGTCTTATTTTGCTCTCTATTGTCCACCAAGGAAACTCCAAACAACTCCATTGCGACTGAGCGATCTGACCTTCTTACTCGGTATGGAAGGACTCTTGACTTACTCAGAGACTCAGTCTTCTGGCTTTATATGAGGAGGAGGTCGAATCAATAGCTATAGTAGACACGCTACGATCTCTCTTTTCTTAAGAAATTACGGCTTTGTTCTCCTTTCAAATTCAAACACCATCTGCATCCACCGGAATAATAAATTTAGGAAAGGTCAACAGGATCTTAATCCACTATTTTTTAAAATGTGTTTGTTAATTATTTGTATTAACTAAAGATTTTTAACATGTGCAATTACCACAATAATTATTTAAAAAAATAGATAAATATGAGAAATAAAGTAGATTAAGATTTTATATTTAGAATCAAATTAAAAGTCAAATTAACTCTTACATTAAATATTGGAAGAAGTATTTTAATTATAAATATTTATTATTTTTTTTGGTAAAAAATATATTTGTTTTTCCCTGGTGCGCAGCTTTAACCAAAGCTTCCTGTTGTTGGCAGGAAAAAAAAAAAAAGCTTGGTGATAAATTAATATAAGCTGTATATTTGATAATTTTGTTTTGGTTATTTCTCTTTTATTTTTTATATTAAATTTTTGGGTTAAGGTTGATTTTTGTTTTGATATTATATTAAAAATGTTAAAAAGAATCAATTTCCCTCTTTTTCTTAAAAATGTTAATATTTAATGTTATTTTTTTGACCGACGATGTAGATTTTTTAACTAGCAAAGCAACATTATTTGTTTTTTAATACTTTCAAAGTGATATTGAATTAAAAACAAAATTCAGATACTTATAGCTCCTCATATGAATTCTTAAAAAAAAAAATGTTACAAATTCTCTATATAAAACTGTCAATATGAGCTGTGCCGTTCCTAAAACCCAACCAAAACGACAAGAACTGGCCATGTCTAATTGGTTCCCTGTTAAGGAACAAACGAACTGTTAAGTTTGTTTGCCACTTTGCGTCTGTGAACTTTTGTAAGGAACTTAGACTATGCAATTTCCTTATTTTTGCTATAAAAATTACTTTGATATTTAATTTGATTTTAACTATAATATTTTAATTCACTTTATTTTTTAATTTTTCTTTTAAAGATAGTCTTTATAGTAGTTGCATATGTTAGTAGTTTCTAATAGTTTTAACTGATACACATAATTAGCAAATACTACATTTGGTCCTAATTATAAGAGCTTGTTGATTAATTTGAGGAGATTAATAAGTTGAGTTAATTTATTTGTCCTAAATAAATGTTGTCTTTCCTAAAATATCATTGCTAATCAAGTATATTGATTAGAACTATCATTGTTAGAAAAGCTACTTTGAAAAAAAAATATAAATATGAGAGACAAAGTGGACTGAGATCTTATATTTATGATCAAAATAAAAGTCAAACAAGGTTTTATATTAAAAACCGAAAGTAGTAGTATTTAAAAAAAAACACTTATATTTATTACAAATAATTAATTTAACTAATTTTTTTAATTTACTTACATTAGACAGTTAGTTTTTATATTAAAAATTAAAGATAATATGTAACAGCACTTTGTATCTGTTTCTTTTAATTTGTGCGTATAATTTGTGCCTGAGGTTATTTTGTTCCCATGCAATTGAATCGATCGTTTGTGGTTGGCGGAGGAGACGTCCGCAAGGCAGCGAGCCTCCTTGTGCGTTGGCCCCGAAGTGTTCTTTTACACGCGTCAACATCTTAAATAGCCTAATCCTAAATTCTAGATTAGAATATTCGACGCACATAGAGATTAGAAAGCTAGTGTGGCTGGTAGAGTCTAGTAGCATATCTTTCATCCAACACATTTAAATTAATTTTACTACATGGATCTAAATAAACTCAAAATCAGCCAAATTACGTAATTCTTTATTTTTATTTTGATAATAAATAAATTTAATTTTATTTCTTATAAAGTTTCTATTTTGTATTGCCTTCCGTCCTTAATATAAGACCTCATTTGATTTTTATTTTGGTCCTAATTATAAAATCTCAATCTATTTTATTTCTAATATTTATGCATTTTTTTTCAAGATAATCTTTTTAACAATGGTAGTTCTAGCCAATAATACACTTGATTAGCAATGATATTTTAGGAAAGATAACGTTTATTTATTACAAATAACTAATTTAACTTCTTTTCTTAATCTCCTCAAATTAATCAACTAACTCTTCTAATTAGGATCGGAGGTAGTATTTTGTGACAACTTATATGTCATTTAGTTAGCATTAAAATCAATCCTAATTAACAAGTTGAGTGTATAGTTTACCTGTTGTCGGAGAGACTAGAATGACGCAATAAAATATTCCCTCCAGTCCTTTTTATAACATTCCAACATTAGGGCTAAATATTAAATATATTTTTATTAATTTTGCCAATAATTAATTTTCTATTCCCACTCATCATTTTTTCACTCCCTCTGGCTCTTTTGATAAGAGCTTGAAATTTAAGTTACCTTAGTCCATTTTATAAGATATTAATTAGGTTTGTCTAAATATTTAATATATTTTTATTATTTTTGCTTATAATTAATTTTATATATTATATTAATTAAAAGGTTGGCAACTTAACATACTACATTCTCTATCATATTTTCTCTCGTTACTATAATATTTCTCTCTCTTACTTGTCTCTTATAAATAAGGTCATACTTGGAAAAAAATATTTTTTTACATATTTATTATTTTTAATTAATTTTAATAGTTTTCTTAAACTGTATAAGTTGGTTATCAGGACAAAAAAGAAGGGAGGAAGTATCATACTACATACTTTTTTTTTTATCATTTATTTAGTTACTGGTTTTTTTTCTTATTTGTTTTCTTATTAAATAATAACATACTTAAGAAAAACAATGTTCAATTTTTACATATATATTATTTTAACTAATTTCAACTGTTTTTTAGACTCTGCAACTTAGCTAAATTTTTTTGCAAAAAGCAAAAAAATTTTGCAAAAAGCATGGGACGAAGTATAAAATATAAGGATTGACTAATTAATTTATCTACCAAATTATAAATAAAGATTCCGTAAATAATGTGCCTTGGATGCCAAGATATGGACGGGGTTCTATTGTGTGAACATTAACTAGCACTCCTCTTTTCCGTATCTCTAATGGATGAAGCCGTATATTTTCAAAATATTTACGCTCTTAAGTGTCTAGTGATTGCTGTCCGCCAATCGCATCTGACAAATGGAATATCTTTAAAAAGATCGAAGAACCCTTTTTTCCTCTTCCCGAAGGTGCGAGTTCCGATTTGCGCTTTCTGTACATCTCTTTCTGGTTGCACTCGGCGATCCAATCGCCGTTGGATCCTCCGGCGGAAAGTGGATCTTGAGTTGAATGAATTATGCAGCGGCTGCGGAGTTCCGGGACCTCCATTTTGGGTTCATTTTCAGCACCCAACGTGAAGAGAAAGGCCCAAAATTCATGGGCTGCTGTGCAGGACACTTTTTTCTCAACCAAGGTACTCTCCCTTCCCTTTACTTTTTCCGTTATTTCTTAAAAGTTTTTGTTCAATTTGTTGGCAATAATTTGTGTTGGATAGTTGTTTGTTTGATTTCGATTGAGAGAAAGACTCAAAATTCATGGGTTTTGAATTGTTTCTCTTTTCATATTTACTTTTAGGACACATTTGAGAGGCATCGGGTGGTGTTTACAGTTGGGACTTCCATAGCATCAATCGCCACGGCTTGGATGGGTGTGTTATCTTCATTGTTATTTCTTTATCCATGTTTGTTTTGTTTTTGTCTTTTGGGATGAATATGCAATTTTTGACTCCGTATAATAACATGTGCTTTTCTTAATGCACGCCATTGATTCCTTGACTTTAGAAACGTTTAAATTAAACTGCGTTTTACCCTTTATGAATGGAAAAGGGAAGATAAATTATGCCGCTGAAAGCTTTTTTTTAAAGAAAGCACACCCTGATGTGAATTCTTTTTACTAGAGAGTGCGTAGGCTTTTCTCATATTTTGGATAAGCTAGCATTGCAAATTATCAAACCTTGCTACTGCCAATGACTTGAATATATTCCTGTTTTATATATCTTTTAAAGCTGAAGCAGAGGGTGAGTCAAAATGAACCAAAATTTCAATGACACTTCTAATTGCATTTCAGATAATGAGACTTTGGACTTGCAAGTTGAAAAATTGGTTGATAGCTATGTTTTGTTGTGAAAATCATGCAATCCTGAATAAAATTACTGTGAATAGGTATGTTATGGAATACGATTCCAGTGAGGAAAGTTGAAACAAACCTGATTTCAGTTTTGTGAACTTGTTTCTGACACTTTCGATCGTAAGTGACATGTTCGTAGTTTTGAGGTATTGTTGTCCAGAGGATTGTAGGGCATCTATTTTCTCATCAAAGAGGGAAATCTGAATTGGAAAAAAAAAAAAGGGGGGGGGGACAGAGAGAAAGAACAATGACAAAGAAAGGAAGTCTGAGAATCATAGAGATTTAGTTTTGAATTGTTTCTTGAACTCCTAGTGTTATTTGATGAATAATTTATTCTTATTTTTTATTTGAACTCTGAAGAACTAATTAGATGCATGTATGTAATTACTCAGGGTATAGTTTACGTCATTTGCATGACAGCAAAGTTGATCAAAGGCTTGAATCAATTGAAAGAGCTGTGAGTATTTAATAGATTAATGTTTTCTTACAAATTTTGATATACCCTAGATGATACACCATTTGCTCCTATGTGCAATTGAATTTTCTATTTAGCTGTGAAGCACATATTGCACTATTTATATCTTAATTTTCTCTTTAACATTCTCTTGTCTCTATTAGTTTGTCCTGGTTAAAAGAAATAAGAAAGATTAAGTTTTAGGATTAAGGTGTAAATTTATGCCGGAAGTTTTCACTCAAGAGCATTGGACACTCAAAAGTTTTTATTGGGTGCAAATTTATCTCAAAAATTTAAAATCGTAGCAATATTACCCCCTGCTATTAAAATTGTTGACGGTCAATACTACTATTGTAACTGTCAATGTTAATATTTTAACGGTAGGGGGCAATATTGCCATGATTTTAAACTCATGGGGCAATTTGCACTCAAAAAAACTTCTGGATTTCCAACACTCTTAAGTGAAAAATTCTAGAGTAAATTTGCATCTTAACCCTAAGTTTTAAGTGATAGAAGCTAGGCGAAGAATCCTATTTTTGTCATTGAAGTGAGATTTCCCTCTGATATCTGAACACGTGCATAGTATGTTTGTTATGAAGAGCTTTCATGATTAATTCTGGATAGTTAATTGATTGAAAGTCTTCCAGTGGCATAAGTAATCTGCTAGGTGCTACTCTAAAAAGAGTGAAGTGTATTTTTCTTGAGCATGTTATAAACTTTTGGTCATTCAGGTAATAACCTCAATCAGCTTGAACATTAAAGATGAAAAAGTCAAGATAAAAAATGAGCTTTTTGTTTCTTCCGTTTTGGCTTGCTGAACTTAGCATTTATGTGTCCTGTGCTTTCTTAAATGGTGAACAAGTCACCATGAGGTGAGAATCCCTTTTGGTGCCCTCCCTCATTGCTTTACTGCTTTAGGCAGCTAAACTTCGTTGTTAGCTTCATCTAAATATGCTAATTACTGTTTCTGGCAGATGAAAAACAGTTATGATCTTGGACAGCCGGAAATTCGAAAGATTGTTGGTTCGGGAGGCCTCAGTATTCCTGCTTGTGTTGCCACTGCTGGAACCACCTTAATTATTGGGTATGTTTTTTGTTTCTTAGACCTAACTGTTCTTAGATAAGAACTTAGAAATTTTGAGAAAGAATAAATTTGTTGCTTCTCAAAGTCCAGGCAACAAGATTTCCCAATCTAGCTACTTCAGAGCCCTAACCTCCTCTCTTGTCTTATTTCCATTCCCCTTGATAACTTCTTCTAGAAATTCCCGTCCATGAAGCATAATTATTACACGAACAGTCAGGCACAGCTGGGGACAATTCAATCTGGCCAAAAACAAATTAGAATGTATTAAAGTGAATTAAAAATTGAGCAGCTTGGTTCAGTTTTCCATTTGCGAATGAGTCAAACCAACAAACCAATATGTACTTCTATAATTTATAGTTCTGTACTCCTGCTAATAATTTTTTTGGTTATTTTATTTATTAGGCGTTAAGTTGTATATGAAACATGTAAACTTTCATAAGTTTGATTTATAATGCCTTTTTATATAAAGTTCGTAAAAATGAGCCTTATTCATAATTTAATGGAACTAAAGAAGGTAAACTGAGATTAAAAAACATGACTAACTGCCAAAGGTTTGGTTTGGCTCAATCAATGAATTTAAAAAAACTGAATTGACCTGCTGTATTACAATTTGTTTGGATCATTCAAACACGGATGCACTGAACTGATGAACACTCGTTGGTTACTTTTATTACACTAGAATGTTAGGCATGGAAAGATAGAGGAAATGAAAATATTACTGAAATAAATGAAAAATGACCCCTGTCCCAAACGTAGGAAAAGCAATAAAAAGATTAAAGAAACTCTGACCGTACAAAATGTATACTGATAAAAAGATTGTAATTTGTGTTTCCCTCACTCTTTCCACGTTGGAATGTATACTGACGGTGGCCTGGTTTTCCTGGGAATAATGGGCTTGTAATTGACTTGGTCCTCTGATCCCTCCTTGTAATCCCTGGGTTGTTCCTCCTCCTTGATTAAGGTGGCCTAGTTTTGATGTTATACTTGCTTTCTGCTCTGTTGCGGAACTCAAATAAAAGTAGTATTAGCATTGATGGAATAGGAGCTTACAGTTGAGAAATTAATGGTGAAGAATGTAACAAGTAGATAGCAGCCTTTTGAATATCTTGTTCACTGCAAATTATTTTAACTCTTCATCTGTTAGAAGTGATGCGTGCAAGTTTCATGGCTGATAAGATGTTGTTTGATAGAATCGTTTGTCTTTTTTATTTGTTTGTGTTTTTAAGGGTCAGTAATCATGGTTTGCTTTGTTATCTATTTGGCGTTGGCAATTACCGGCTTCTATGATTTCGATTCCCTGAAATACCTTTAACTAATTATTTAGTTGTCCATGCAACGTGAAGCCTCATTTATCGTTGGTCATAATACCTCTTCTCTCACCATGGTAACAAATCATAAGAAATACTTATATTCCAACTTTGTTTCCTTGCTTATCTTTTCGTTTTTTCATTCATAGCTATAAGGACTAGGACAACTGCAATGCTGAAGACCACGAGGAAAATTGTTCGATAAAATTACATGAACATCTTTCTTATTTTGCTTTTTATCATATGCTTTTACCTACCTAACGAAGAACTAACTTACAAGGGGGAAGGGATGGAAGAAAGGTGGGAATGCCTGCAACCAATGGACATGTCCAATATGATAAAAGCTCATTTTTAGTTAAGCAATAACAATTTCCTGATTTAGGTAGGATAAGATAAAGTGCATATACTGTACTATTCTTCTCCTAATTCTGCTGAAGAATGAACAACTTTCCTTTTCTTGCGGTCGATCAAATCTCCTGATCCTCAATAACCTTTTTTCCTTCTTGCTCTGAAAGTAAAATGGTTGTTTTCTACCCCGTATATACAATGTACTTTGGAATAGATTTCTAGGTCACTTCCTCTTTCTGTGATTAATCTTGACATGCTGTATGTTCTGATTCAAATGATGATTCCACACTTGCACTGAATCACGCAACTCTCACCTTCTTGAGGGATCCATATACTTAGACTTCTATTCATGTTGGCGATAAATCTTAACACATTAGTAAAGCTTTCTCTGGTGAAACATCTTTACCTGCATATATATCAAACTGTTTCTGAGAAACCAGCTGATATAAAGGATGACAAACGCTAATCTTCTCGTTGTCATCCCTGATTGTGATGTGCCTTTCTTATTTTGTTTGCTTTTCACCATGGCTGACATATGCAGGTATGGCTTGGGATGGCGAAGTGGTAGCTGGTATGCAAACAGGAAGTTTAGAAAAGAGCAGATGAAGATGCTAGGACTGATTAAACCTAGGAAATGGCAACTACTTGGGCAGATACAACCCAGAGCATTGCAATTCATTAGAAGACCCTTAAGGAGATCCAAATTACAAGAAACTCCAGTGGAGACACCTGAAACACCTACAAATGAGTCATCCGTTAAACTTGTCGCCAAATGAGTCACGTCAGTCTTCCTGGGAATGCGGCTGAAGTTGCTGGTTTAAAAAAAAAAAGGAAGCAAAAAATGCGGCTGAAGTTGCTGTATGGGCCTTGAATATTGGTAATATAGTTCCATAAGCTCTTACAGTTGGCACTGATAGTCATTTTTAGGACTCTGATTGCTGGGTCCTCACTTCATCCACTCTTCTTTCTGCATATGATGAATATTTAAGATATTCTGATAAGGCAGATCATGTTTTGGTTCTGATCATAAGTTTGCAATGAAACAAATGCAATGTTGTTCAGCTTTGAACTTTCGGCAAATCTGTATCTTCAAAGTTTAACATCAGCCTTATAGAAGAAAGTTTCTTTAGGTAGTGTTACTTGTAAATGACATTGTTTCTTCGGAGATTACAATGTCTCAAGGAAGTGTTAATGACAGGATAATGCGTTAAGTAGAAAATTACAATCTTAGATTCTTTTGGTTATTTTTTTCAATTCAAGAGCTATAAATGAACTTTAAATTTTGCAAATGAGGTGTTATTGAAAAGATTTGGAAGTATAGTTTTCAATAAAATAAGTTCCACATTAAAATGCAATGTATTTTATATATGACGGAAAAGGTAATCAAAGGTCAAGATTTAATGCACAATTCATATTTCAATATTCAGACTTTATGTTTGGAAAAGTAATAGAAAAATACTCCTTGAATTTCAAAAACACAAGTAGTCATGTTTGAATTTCAAAAAAACAAATAGGTCATGTTACCTACTCATATAATGGTTTGGACTATTCAAAATATGGTAAAATTACCTATTTGTCATTTTGAAATTCAACATGTATTTTTCTACTATTTTCTTTTAATGTTTTCATAATTTTTTTGGGGTAGAACTTTATTTTGAGTAAAAAAGAATGACATTACTCCCTAAATCATGTAAATCAAAATGTTAGTTAAAATTGATTAAAGACAATAAATGTGTAAAAATTAGAAGTTTTTTCCTCTTAAATGCCCCTTATTTATGGGAGTGAGTATAAAAAAAAGAATAAGAAAATTATTATAATAAAGAGAATTATGAAAGAAAGAGAATATGTAATGAAGAAATGATAATTTGAGAAATAAGATAATAAATATATTGAGTATTAAAAGTACACAGCTCCTAACAAAATATGTGCCTTATGAGTATTATACCAACGTGTGTACATTTATAAGCATGAAAATACATGTAAGAGTTAATTAATCTGTAAGTTCTTATAATTTCAACCAATTTTGAATCGGGTTCTTATAATTTTTTTCTTTTTATCAAGTCCTTATACTTTTTCCTGTTTTTAATTAGGTTCTTGTATTTATTTTTCTTTTTATCAAGTCCTTATAAGTTTGCCTTATTTTTAATTAAGTCCCTGAATTTTTTATTCTTTATTTTATAAATTCTAATAGTATTATTCTATAAACATAAAATAGTATATATTATTTAATATTAGTTTATAAACAATAACATTCTAGAAATAATGAATTATTATAATAATTTTATTTTTTTCAAAAAAAATAATTGTTCCAAAAAATTTTCCTGAATTAATTATTTATATTACTTATTTTATTATATAATTATTAATTTAATTTATTTATTAATATTTTATATTTCAGTATTAATTTATTTAATTAATTTTATATTTAATTAATAAATAAAAATTAAAAATACATGGACATTATTAAAAATTTAGTGAAATTATAAAGACTTAATAAAAAGAAAAATAAGTGCAATGACCTAATTTAAAACAGATAAAAATATAAGGACTTAAATAAAAAAAATTATAAGAATTTAATTCAAAATTAGTTAAAATTATAGAGAGTTGCAGATTAATTAACCCTACATATAATATTATATAGGTTCTATCAAACCACTTGTGTCTCCTTGCAAACCAATGAAAATCTCAAGATCTTTGGATTATATGAATTTAAATTTTTTATTGATTTTAAGTATTATAAGGATGCAAAATATCCACATAAAAAAGTATTATTGTTTAAAGGAATCTACCGGTTTAGTGCCTTTTGATATTTGAACATATTGGCCGCGTGCGCCCGGGGGAACGATGAACAGTTCCGATCTGCTCTGAGTGGTCTATGCCTCATTTGGAATCACATTTGCGTTTCTTCTTTTTCAAACAAAAATTGCAGTTCTAGAGGATCCTCGAGTTTCATGTTTACTTAGGAATAATCGCAACTTGTTGAGGAAAAGATTAGGAATATAAAATAGAAAATTAGGTGAGATAATAGAATTTGGCAAGTAAAAGGGATATTAAATAGTTTAACGAGTTCACTTGATCAAATCAGTCAAATAAACATTCTTTTTTGGTTGACGTGGTTTTCTAAATATATATAATGATGAGTAAAATAATTTTTACATAATTAAAACCCACGACATATTTTATAAATTTTGTCAAGTATACTCGTAGTCTATTCACAGCGTATGATATTTTTTATTATATGTTTAACTTAGATACTTGTACATTAATTACAAAAAAAAATATAATTATAAAAATGTTCTGTTTTTTTGTCTGTTTCTTGAGTACGTGTGTATATAAAGGAAGTATTGATATAATTTGAAGCTAACATAGGAAAAAACGGCATGGCCAAGATTTCCTTAATCTTTGTCATTCTATTTTCTCTGTAATGTCTAGCAGCTTGCTTTAGAAAAAACTCGACAACAATCATAAGTGAAGATGCTAATCCTCCATCAGAAGTAATGACAAATGGAGATAGTGTTTTCTCATTGCTGGTGTAGAAACAAGGCTATACTTGTGAAGAACTCTTGGTGAGAATAATATATATAGCTTTATATCTTTTTCTTCTGTTCTTCATTTCCAACAATCACAAATTATAATACTTCCTCCAGTCTTGCACCACTCCGGTTCTTAATACAAGTCGCTTGTGAGAAAAAAAATTTTGTTCTAAACATAAGTCACTTATAGGGTATTTAATGATTATTTTTCAATTTTAATCTTATTTAATTCTTATTGGAAAGAGAAAAAGATGAGAGAGGGGTGAGAATAATTTGCAAATACAGAGAGAAACTTTTAATAAGGGGTAATTTTAGAAAATTTTATCAATTTAATGCATTTGTTGATATGTGAGAATGAATTACAAATAACTTATGGATCGAAGTGGTGTATGAGAAAACTTCTCTAGGGATATTCTATTTCTATTTAAAAGGGGCACTAATTAATAACCTGTTTGAAATTTGGAAAAACAGCAAAAAAGACTGTGAAAATCACAAAATTACAAATCAAGAATTTTGCAAAAAATGTGTTGTCATTTGTAATTATTTAATTATTGTCAAAACTCATAAAAGTATTATAACAGGTCTCAATTTGATTTTGTAATTTTAACGGTCTTTTTTTGTGATTTTTCTTTAAGATGCTTAGTGTCATTTTTATTTTTGTAGTCTCATCATGTTGATTATTAATTTGTTCATTCACTCTCACCGGTTCTCTCTTTTTCTCTCCATCCAGAAATAATTAATTTCTTTTTTTTTTCACAAATTCATTGTCTTTAACTATCTTCTTATTTACATACACAAATCGGTTATTTATATCTTCTAAAAAAGAACTAAACGGATTACATACATTGGACTTGGAGAAACAACTATTAATTGTTGTTACTGGGATTAAGTAATTTGTGTTTGCTTCATTACTTGGTTTTTAGGTGACCACACAAGATGGCTATGTTCTTAGCATGCAGAGAATTCCGGTGGGACCATGAAACTCGTCATTGTCGGAAAATAGGCCGCCGGTTCTCCTCCAACACGGGCTTTTCATGGTAAGTTTCATGTAAAAAAAGTGCACTTTTGATACGTGAAAATTTCAGTTTTCTAACGTTTGAAAATTTATCATCATAAAATATTTAGGTATATTGCCCTCGTGAGGGCATTGAAGTTTGTTTAATCCGTAGTGTATTATTGATAGCAAAAATATTTAGGTATATTAAATAATAAATATGATAATCTCTCTTTCACACACACAAACAAAGCCACAACAAGCCGTATCATTCGACGTTGTAAACGACGGTACTGATTGCACCGAGTTTTTCAGTTTTCTGACGTTTGTACGAGCAATAGAAGTTTCAAAATATATTTTAATAGTTTAATTTCTTATATGCATATGTGTGTGTTTTAACTTTTAAACATCTATCAAATAAGTTTCTATGATATACCAAGAGATAATTTGTTAAATTATAGGTTACTATAATTTTAATCCCTTGATTTTGCACTCATTTTAGCAGTTTTAATCTCTTGAGTTTCATATCATAGGTTTTAATCGTCTTTCAAGTTTCTTTCCATTTAAAATATTGGGTCCCTATAATTGAAGAAAAATTTGTATCATTTTAAAGATCAAAATTTGTGATTTAAAAATGGAGACATTAAAACCAAAATTTGTACAAATTTGAAGATAAAAAATTATATTAATATTTAAATTATTCGTGTATGCTTGTTTAAGTTTGTAATTATATTTAATTTTTTATTCAGTTTTTACAAATTTAAAAAAATGAATGAATTTACAACTTGCTATTGTTTTATATTTTATCTCATCTCATGTATAACTTTTGTCAGTTAATGTAACCAATTTATGGTCTTTTTAAATTAACTTGAGATGATCAAGCAGGGTCAAATCAACCGTTTATCTCAAGTAAAGCTGCTAAGAAAAAATTTATTATTTTTTTGGGTGGCTAATAAAATCATTCAAGGGGTCTATATTAATCTGATGATTATTATATTAAAAATTAAAACCCTAACAATATAAAAAATGTTATCAGTTTGCTGGGAAAGCTTAACTATTGAATGATTACCTTTTTTATAAGGAGGAAAACCTATTGTGTAACAATATTTGGTAAAACTGAATGACTTAACTTGTATTAATGAGAGAACCGTATTTATACAAGGAGAATGATGTATAACAACTTGACACTAATAAATAACAGAATCAGTTAATATAACAAAATTGTTAATTCTATGCTTCACACCCCCCGCAAGCTTGAGCATGGATGTTTTTCATGCCAAGCTTGGATATGAGCTCATGAAAGGGTCTAGGATGAAGAGGTTTGGTAAAGACATCTGCTAATTGATCAGCTGATCGAACAGGAAAGAGCTGGATAACTTTAGATTGAACTTTCTCTCGAACTAGATGGCAATCCAACTCGATGTGCTTCGTTCGTTCATGAAAGGTGGGATTGGCAGCAATCTGCAAAGTTGATTGGTTGTCACAGTAAAGAAATGTAGGATCAAAGTGTCTTATGTCAAAGTCATTTAGTAAGTACAAGAGCCACTGAACTTCACATGTTGTAGACGCTAGAGCTCTATATTCTGCTTCTGAGGAGGATCTGGAAACGGTGGCCTGTTTCTTGGCTTTCCAAGAGATGAGAGAGGAACCGAGAAAAACTGCATAGCCAG